AACTTTTATTCAGATTAAATAGAGAAGCAAAGCAAAACCTTGAAATGGACTGGAGCGATAAGAAGGAGGCTTTAGAGATTGACACCAAATCTGGAGCACTTAGAAACGAACATACAGATAAACAGTTCTACTCAGGAGCAGCCAAGTTTGAGGAAATGTAAGAAAGCTTATAAAGTAAACCAAAAATGACAACAAATTCTTCCATTAACAATACTATTTAAGACAGTTAGTATCATCCTAAACTTGCTAGATAATTTTGTTGATTTTTTACAGTCAATCTACACCCGAGTCCTGGGCCCAGTTTACACATGACAACATTGTCCGTGGAGAACATGAGAGAATGGCGTCCATTCAACTGCGACAGTTAATTGATAATATCCTTGCCGATACCTCTCGAGACATGAGAGAGCAGTGTGACACAGTAGATGTCTGCTTCCAGAAACGCTTGGAGGAAATGGAGGATTCTAAAGCTAAAATGGAGGAAAATCTGAGAAAGGTTACTGAAATTTACAACAAATCATCTGAAAAAGTTTTAATTATACATACATAACTATCATTCAAACAGCTCCAAGCAATTTTTTTTCACAGTTTGTGATAGGGATATTTATTTCAAAACTTCTACGTTCTTTTGTGTAGATCTGTGATGAAATTGCACAAATGGAGAACAACATTGATATGTTGAGAAAAGCTATCCGAGACAAGGAAAACCCAATGAAGGTGTCCCAGACCCGCCTCAACAACCGCACCAACAGACCCGGTGTGGAGCTCTGTAGAGATCCTGTGCAATACAAGTAAGGCTATTCTGACTGCTAACTTATATTAACAGGAAATTTAAATCTATGATTTTCTTGATTGAAAGTTCTTCAGTTATATTGAACTAATTGATAAAAAAAAATCTTCCTATCCCAAAACATTTAGCTTTAAATTTAACATCTAAAAAATGCAGAATGATATCATTGCCTTACAAAGATATGAAAAATAATCATCGGTTTTAACATTACAGACTTGTGGGTGAAGTGAATGAAATTGCACAGTCCATTGATGCTCTAGCAGAACAACTAAACAATGCTGAGAACTCCAGAAAAGACCTTCAGGACAACAGAATGGCTCTAGAGAAGGAAATTGCCTGCAAGAAGAACAGTATATTTATTGATAGAGACAAGTGTGTCAGCGTCCGCACCAGATATCCAACCTCACTCAAATTGCAGGGCTACCAGTAACCCTCCAATTGCCCCCTATAGACTCTAAATTACACTGCTTCTGTCTGTCTAGATCTTTTTTGGATCAAAGCTTGCACTGCACCTCCATTAATGTACTGTTGTGAAACATTTTTATTCTTAAAACTTGCTGACATAATATCTTGAAAATCATGCCTCATCAAATGTGTTTGCAGAACCAACTAGATATACTTCAATTATATTTTACAAAGGGGTTTAATTTTTGCTTGGATTGTTTCCTTGCCCTTTGTTCATTAAATTATAAGTGTGATATTATTGGGAATAAACAGTATTTTGTAAATAAAAGTATATGTTGAGAGTAAAAAAGGTGTGTATGTTTTTTGTGGAAGTTTGAATTCAGTATAATACAACCAATCCTAAGAAGTGTGCTGGAGTAATGTTTAACAGGTAATGGTAATGTCTATCCCTGGATGCATCATCCATGCAAGTTTGCTTAGGAAGGGCTTATAGTTACTTGGGAATGGACCTGCTCCAAAAACTTTAACCTGGTCATTCATCTGGAAAATCTAGGTCAGATCCAGCATCTGAAGCAAGTGTGGTAGTGTCCATCTCTAGATGCATCATGCATGCAAGTTTGGTCCAGGTAGGGCTTATAGTTACATGTACTTGGGAATGGACCTGCTCCACAAAACTTTAACCTGGTCATTCATCTGGAAAATCTAGGTCAGATCCAGCATCCAAAGCAAGTGTGGTAGTGTCCATCCCTAGATGCATTATCCATGCAAGTTTGGTCCAGGTAGGGCTTATAGTTACTTGGGAATGGGACTTGCTCCTAAAACTTTAACCTGGATGCTCATCTTGACTTCATTGAGGTGAGCTAAAAAAATTCATATTTATTCAATGAAAAATGCGGACCCCATGTAGAGGACCCACCTAAGCTGCAAGGGTTTATAAAACTGAACTAGAATCCGTACAATATGGGGATGCTTAAATATCAATAAGACTTTTAAAATAGCTTTACTGTAAACCATTCTGGAGAAAAAAATTTTATGCCCCCATAATTGAAGATTCGGGAGCATATAGTTTTTGTCTGTTCATCTTTCTGTCTGTTTGTCCACAAAAACATTAAACTTGCCCATAACTTTTGATTGGTTGGAGCTTTGGCTTTCATATTTCACATCTTTCCCTGGGTACCAACAGTTTTGACCTTTTATCCTTAACCTTGGAGTTTAACCTACTTTTGAAAAACTTTAACCTTGGCCATAACTTGGCCTTCAACATTCCAATGACAAGGGAATTATTTCTATAGGAAATTTTGAAACTCCTATATAGAACCAGAAGTCTCTGACGAGACTGTAGCTCTACTGGTTGTATTTATAAAGGAAGATAAAAGTAGCACTTGGACTTGAAACTTTGCAACAGCAATAAATAGAATAATGATCCTTGGTTTAGTCTCTTTTGTGGCAAGATTTATTATTATATCAGACTAAAACTGTAGGAGGAGTAGCCTTTTAAAACAATTTTACAGAAATTTTGATTTAAGTAACCATGGCAACATCATTCAACAAAATCAAAAAACAATAACACCAATTATGTATCTCTGTAGTCTACTTGTATGCCACATTATACTGAAATCAGACAAAAAGTGTAGGAGGAGTAGCATTTTGAAAGTATTTCAAGAAAATTTCTATTTTTAGTAACCATGGCAACACTGTTCATCAAAATCCAAAACTGGTATAGAGAATTATGTATCTTAGTGTAGTTTACTTGTGTGCGAAGTAATACTAAAATCAGACCAAAACTGTAGGGGTAGCATTGAGGGAAATTTCTATTTTCAGTAACCATGGCAACACCGTTCACCGAAATCAGAAAATCAATATAAAGAATTATGTATCGTAGTGTTGTCTACTTGTTTGCCAAGTTATACTGAAATCAGACCAAAACTGTAAGAGGAGTAGCATTTTGAAAGTATTTCACAGAAATTTCTATTTTTAGTAGCCATGGCAACACCGTTCATTGAAATCAAAAACTGATTTACAGAATTATGTATCTTATTATAGTTTACTTGTGTGCCAAGTTATATTGAAATCAGATCAAAACTGTAGGAGGAGTAGCATTTTGAAAGTATTTCACAGAAATTTCTATTTTAAGTAACCATGCTAACAACGTTCATCGAAATCAAAAACCGATACACAGAATTATGCATCTTAGTATAGTGTACTTGTGTGCCAAGTTATATTGAAATCAGATCAAAACTGTAGGAGGAGTAGCATTTTGAAAGTATTTCACAGAAATTTCTATTTTTAGTAACCATGGCACTAACGTTCATCGAAATCAAAAACCGATAAACAGAATTATGCATCTTAGTATAGTGTACTTGTGTGCCAAGTTATATTGAAATCAGATCAAAACTGTAGGAGGAGTAGCATTTTGAATGTTTTTCACAAAAAATTCTATTTTTAGTAACCATGGCAACACTGTTCATCGAAATCAAAAACTGATACACAGAATTATGTATCTTAGTGTAGTCTACTTGTGTGCCAAGTTATATTGAAATCAGACCAAAACTGTAGGAGGAGTAGCATTTTGAAAAATTGTTTACAGACGGACGGACGGACAGACAGACAGACAGACGGACGGACGACGGACACCTTACTATCGCATAAGCTCTTCTGGTCTCTGACCAGTAGAGCTAAAAACAGAGAAGCTAACTTTCCCTGTCAACAGAAGTGCATGTCTTATGAAGTCACAATTGAATGCTACTCCCTTACTCATTTGCACTTCATGCATTAGAAAAAAGTGTAATGAAATCAGAATCTCAAGTAAACTTTTCCTCAACTATTTGCATCACAATCGAAAGATGCCTCGATCTTTTTCCTAGTGAAAGAAGTTAAAATTAGAGGAAACTAATTAACATTGAAGAAATAAATAAAAAATTTGATAATTTGTTGATGACGTTTCTGATTTATTGGAGATTCTACTACGGTTATCGCAAAGATCAAAGAGATACCATGACCTATTATTCGCCAATAAATCACTAACGGCATCAACAAATTATCAATAAATTTAAATTGGTTTCCTCTAATTTTGACTGCATTCACTACGAAAGGATAGAGATATTTCTTGATTGTGATGTAAATGGGTGGGAAATAATTTACTTTGAGTTCAGATTACATCAAAGTTTTTTATGTTTGAGATACAAATGAACGAGGAGTAGCAAACGATTGTGACGTCATAAGACACTTCTGATGACGTCCAAATCTAGTTTCTGCATTTCTCTATAGAGAAGTTTAAACATTCACTGTAGCAGAATAGAAATAATTCCCTCGTTGTCAGAATTGTTGGAGAATATACCCCTCAGTCTCAAGATATTGTTGGCAAATAAAAAAAAAAGTTATCAGGGTATATTCTCCTCCAATTCCTCCAATGTGAGAATTATTTCTTAAATAATGGGTGCAAATTTCATATAATATGACATCACAATGAAACAGCAAAACATCCACGGAACGCATCGCTCTATCTGCTTTTTTATCTGAGAAATGCTCTAAGGTCACTGCAAATTCCCAATGGGACTTGAGGAAGAGGAATTGGATAGAAAATATTTTTTCAGTGAGTAGATATCTGATTGTCCATCCCATTTGTTTTAGACCAGTGAGCTACAGATCTGCACCTAGGTCACTGGTAACACTCTTTATAATTTATAGTGTTTGGAGTTCATGATTGATGACAGAATGAGGCTTAAGGCTATGTCAAAAGTAAGCATTTATGTAGATAAATATGAATTATACAAAATAAATAAATAATAAATATTTACTGTACAAAAAATATTGTCCATAAAGGGATAACAAGTCAAATAAACTAAATATCTTCAGTTGAGTCAATCTGACGACTGTACAGAACCATCCATGGTGTCCTTGACAACTACAGGATATGTTTTTGAGTCGGTTGTAAAACACAAGGACCTCAGCAACTGCATGTAATCACTGAAAAAAAATCTTAAAATACACTGTAAAAGCAGAAATATTCGTGGGGGATTGAGTTTCGTTTATTTCGTTGTTAACAATTATCTACAAAATTAAAGCCCACACAAAATTTTTATTTGACTATACATGTACATGTATATTGAATATGGTTACTTTCAAAACAAAGTAATTAAATGCCCACGAAACTATTTTAGATGACAAATCAACGAAATTTCATCCCCACGAAAATTTGTGCTTTTACAGTAGTACTGGCAAGAGAGGAATAAAGAGAGAGAGAGAGAGTATAGCATATAATAATCAATGCTGCCATTACCCTGGGCTTAGATCAGGAGTCTCCATTAGATCTGTGATGTTGGAGAGGACAACCTCCTGGAGTTTATTAAGAAGTTGTTTGTACTGAAGCTGGAATACCAGCTGGAGGTAACGCTCTAACTGCCTGGGAGAGTGGTACTGTACTCGGTAATTTAGTGCAGGTAAGGTATATTTATCTGTAAATAATATAGGCTGTACTGGCTAAATGCTTGATTATTAAGTATTATTTAATATTTAGTTCTGTTGCTTTGGTACAGCATTGAATTGAACAAATTGTGAAATCAAAATAATATTGAAATATCTTATATCTATTAGGAATGAGAATTCCATCTAGAAACAACAAGAATATCTCCAAACTGCTGTTTCTGTTCGCTATGTAGATCTGAATATTGAGTAAATGATGCTTTTTTGTGAATGCAGCTTAATACTGTTTTGTCTAAGGTGAACAAGAGGACATCTACTGTTTAAAGGGAAATTTTTGTCCTGTCTTATTTTTGCCCTCCTAGCAAGAGGACAAATTTAAACAGTGTGAATTCAAAGAAGACAACATAATTTCTCTCACACAACTGTGTCTGGGCAAATATAAAACTGGGCAAAAAAATTTGTAAGTGTGAAAATGCAACAAAATAAATAAATAAATAAAATAACCTTGTATATAGTCTTGATAAAAGTCAAAATGTTACCTATATGCTCAGACCACATCATGGCTGACCTGCTGCGTGGGACTGAGGGACTTCTCTGAGGACGTACTTTGGGAAGATTCAGGTGACAGAGATCTGATGAGAAAGTCGAATGTATAGTGAATCAAACATTGTAAGCCATTGGTTTTTTTCTGTTTCTGCTCTTTGTAGGAGCTGTAGCAGATCTGAAATATGTTGCTTGCAATCACAGTGTGCTCCAAATACTGAGAACAAACATTCCTGACTTTGTAATGATTATTAATCCTAATTTAAGTAAATAAAGGTATGCCATTTTTTATACAGGGTGTGTTTATTCCTTAGGATAATGAAAATGCTGATTCCTATATCCCCCCAAGAAAAAGATTATTCATGATATGAAGGTAATTCATAACACTGGCTCAAGGTCATTCTGGCAAGTTTAAGGTCACTGGCAAAAAAAGTGTAAAATTCAAGTCAGGTGCACGATTTTCTAAAGGAGAAACCTTGGATGTTCATTGTTTTAAACTCAGATTACTTATAACCAAACGATGTGTCATTAATTTATTTTTTTTATCAAAAGTCATTTCTGCAAGTTCAAGGTCACTTTTAGAAAACTGTATATGGACACTTTAAAAAATTGCAGCAGGGGGTATAATTATGTGAACTCAATCACAGTTTCTCTAGGTTAAATCTGAACCAGAAGTCTCTGATGAGACTGTAGCTCTACTGGTTGTATTTATAAAGGAAGATAAAAGTAGCACTTGGACTTGAAACTTTGCAACAGCAATAAATAGAATAATGATCCTTGGTTTAGTCTCTTTTTGGCAAGATTTATTATTATATCAGACTAAAACTGTAGGAGGAGTAGCCTTTTAAAACAATTTTACTGAAATTTTGATTTAAGTAACCATGGCAACATCATTCAACAAAGTCAAAAAACAATAACACCAATTATGTATCTCTGTAGTCTACTTGTATGCTACATTATACTGAAATCAGACAAAAAGTGTAGGAGGAGTAGCGTTTTGAAAGTATTTCAAGAAAATTTCTATTTTTAGTAACCATGGCAACACTGTTCATCGAAATCAGAAACTGGTACAGAGAATTATGAATCTTAGTGTAGTTTACTTGTATGCTAAGTAATACTAAAATCAGACCAAAACTGTAGGGGTAGCATTTTGAAGGTATTTCAAGGAAATTTCTATTTTTAGTAACCAAGGCAACAATGTTCATCGAAATCAAAAACCGATACACAGAATTTTGTATCTTAGTGTAGTCTACTTGTTTGCCAAGTTATATTGAAATCAGACCAAAACTGTAAGAGGAGTAGCATTTTGAAAGTATTTCAGAAATTTCTATTTTTAGTTACCATGGCAACACCATTCATTGAAATCAAAAACCAATAAAGAGAATTATGTATCTTATTATAGTCTACTTGTGTGCCAAGTTATATTGAAATCAGATCAAAACTGTAGGAGGAGAAGCATTTTGAATGTTTTTCATAGAAATTTCTATTTTTAGTAATCATGGCGACACCGTTCATCAAAATCAAAAACCGATATACAGAATTATGCATCTAAGTATAGTCTACTTGTGTGCCAAGTTATATTGAAATCAGATCAAAACTGTAGGAGGAGTAGCATTTTGAATGTTTTTCACAGAAATTTCTATTTTTAGTAACCATGGCAACTCTGTTCATCGAAATCAAAAACCGATACACAGAATTATGTATCTTAGTACAGTCTACTTGTGTGCCAAGTTATATTGAAATCAGACCAAAACTGTAGGAGGAGTAGCATTTTGAATGTTTTTCACAGAAATTTCTATTTTTAGTAACCATGGCAACACCGTTCATCGAAATCAAAAACCGATACACAGAATTATGTATCTTAGTGTAGTGTACTTGTGTGCCAAGTTATATTGAAATCAGACCAAAACTGTAGGAGGAGTAGCATTTTGAATGTTTTTCACAGAAATTTCTATTTTTAGTAACCATGGCAACACCGTTCATCGAAATCAAAAACCGATACACAGAATTATGTATCTTAGTGTAGTGTACTTGTGTGCCAAGTTATATTGAAATCAGACCAAAACTGTAGGAGGAGTAGCATTTTGAATGTTTTTCACAGAAATTTCTATTTTTAGTAACCATGGCAACACCGTTCATTGAAATCAAAAACCGATACACAGAATTATGCATCTTAGTATAGTCTACTTGTGTGCCAAGTTATACTGAAATCAGATAAAAACTGTAGGAGGAGTAGCATTTTGAATGTTTTTCACAGAAATTTCTATTTTTAGTAACCATGGCAACACCGTTCATCGAAATCAAAAACTGATACACAGAATTATGTATCTTAGTGTAGTCTACTTCTGTGCCAAGTTATATTGAAATCAGACCAAAACTGTAGGAGGAGTAGCATTTTGAAAAATTGTTTACAGACGGACGGACAGACAGACAGACAGACAGACGGACGGACGACGGACACATTACTATCGCATAAGCTCTTCTGGTCTCTGACCAGTAGAGCTAAAAATGAGCCTGAAAACATTGAATAAGAAACATTTACACCCCCTGATGCAGTGACTTCCAATGCAATCATTTTTATTGATATATCATACCTGTATTCTGTAAGGACACTTCCTCTTGAAGTTGATAAAATCTTGTCAGAACTAATTCCAGCATGTTTTTTGTTCTTAGCACTTCAAATGCAGGAGTTTCATCTGAGATAGATTTATAATTCATGTTATTAAAGCTTGCACAGAAAGTACTCATGCTCTCTGACGATAAACAACACAGTTCATTAAATGCCTCATTTGAACTTCAACCAATATCAGAGTAATCTAATAGCTTTCTTTTTCTTTAGAAGATTTTTGAAAGATTTTTTTTTTCATATACATGTACAATGTACATCAAATTGAATTTATCTGATCACAGTTGATTGAAATCACAAAATAAAAAGATCCTCTGTCTTATTCAGAGCCAAATATCTTAAATCGCAATACTAAAAATTAAAAAATTATTTGTTATCAATGTAACCAGCGAAAAGGAAAAAAAAAGACAGACCAGGATTCAAACCAGGGCCCCCTGAATCAACAGTCAGGTGCTTTACCAACTAAGCTATCTGGCCACCAGCGACTGAACCTGCCTGACTAACACATTCCTCCCTCCTTAAAAGTCTTTGCCCCCAAAGATACCAATTCAGGCTTTTCCCTAGCAGGTCTTTCATCTGTAACTTCCTGGGTATGGTCATGGCACCAAATGATATTCTGTATACGGGGAAAATTTAGCCCCCATTTTATTTTCGCCCTTCTCCTAGGTGGGCGAATTTAAAACAGGGTGAATTCTAAGAACACAGTATAATTTCTTAAACAGAACTTTGACTGGGCAAATTTAAAACAGGGCAAAATTGTTTGCAAGTGTTGTGAAAGGGCGAAAATAACACGAAAATAACCCTGTATACAGTAACATGTGTGGCTGGACCATGATTCGAACCAGCTGGAGCCCTCTGAATCACTAGTCAGGTGCTCTACCAACTGAGCTACTTAACCGCCAGCATATGTTTGTGAAAAAAAAAAAATGATAGGAACTGCTATGCTGGCCTGCTGGACAATTGTCTGACTAACATTGGGTAGTTCTATTGTCACATCTCCATTAGCTAGTTCTGTTGTCAGACCTACCATCAGATAGTTCTGTTGTCACACCTACCATCAGATAGTTCTGTTGTCATCAGACCTACCATCAGATAGTTCTGTTGTCATCAGACCTACCATCAGATAGTTCTGTTGTAAGACCTACCAACAGATAGTTCTGTTGTAAGACAACCATCAGATAGTTCTGTTGTCATCAGACCTACCATCAGATAGTTCTGTTGTCATACCTACCATCAGATAGTTCTGTTGTCATACCTACCATCAGATAGATCTGTTGTCACACCTACCATCAGATAGTTCTGTTGTCATCAGACCTACTGTCAGATAGTTCTGTTGTCAGACAACCATCAGATAGTTCTGTTGTCATCAGACCTACCATCAGATTGTTCTGTTGTCATCAGACCTACCATCAGATAGTTCTGTTGTCATCAGACCTACCGTCAGATAGTTCTGTTGTCAGACAACCATCAGATAGTTCTGTTGTCATCAGACCTACCATCAGATTGTTCTGTTGTCATCAAACCTACCATCATATTGTTCTGTTGTCATCAGACCTACCATCAGATAGTTTTGTTGTCAGACCTACCATCAGATAGTTCTGTTGTCAGACCTACCATCAGACAGTTTTGTTGTCATCAGACCTACCATCAGATAGTTCTGTTGTCAGACCTACCATCAGATAGTTCTGTTGTCAACAGACCTACCATCAGATAGTTTTGTTGTCAGACCTACCATCAGACAGTTCTGTTGTCAGACCCTCCAGTGTCTTCTGTAGTTCCTCGTACTCTCGCTCCACTCTCTCCACTGTGAGAGTCACCTCGTAGCCAGAATCCAACTCAAACTGCAAGAATTTTAGTATTTTCTTTGATACCTTCACAAATCCACACCTGTGACACACTACAGTTAAATTCAATACATTGTAGCTATATACATATAGTTATTATCCAAATCTTTCTTAACAGAAACGAGGAAAATTTGAGAACAAAGATAAATCAAAATTTTGGCACACTTTCCTCTATCAGTCAAATCATTTCCAGTCTTACTAACTTGTCTTGAAGTGAGGATTTATCTTTTACTTGTATACCTACCAATTGTTCTACAGAGTCAATAAAATCTTGCCCTGACTTCCTAGAATCCACCTTTTTGGTCATTCTGTTGACGGACAATTTCTGTCTCAGTTTGTGATTCACAGAGACTAACTTCCTCAGTTTCCCTGGAATCTCAATATTATTTCTAAAAATGAACAAAAGATTCATTAATGCACATCATGCTTTCCATCCTCATACTTACAATAGTCAGGCACTAGTGTAGTATTTGCCATATACTATTGTTTAACTTTTATGTTCCTGCTTTCTTTACACAATATTTCATATTCTTGTAAAGTTTGAGTTGGACTAAGTAAAGCAAAAATAATTGACCTACCATCCACAACTCTTTAATATGGGTTTATAATTAGAGAAATGGTCTTCTCAGAAAAAAAAAATTTTAGTGACAGTTTGAATGAAATATAATCTCATATTTTAAGATGAAGTGTGTTTCTATTTTTTTTTTTTTTGCATTATAAAGTTCAAGGTGAAAGTTGAAAAAGGAACGAGAATTTGTTTCATTGTCACATTTTTTCCCCTTTTACTCATGGTATAAACAACAAATTAAGAGATTGGTTTATGATAATTTTCTGCATATTTAATGCTGAATTTATAGATTTATATCCACGTACACAATTTTTTCCAGAGAAAAAATAATTCTATTGAGAAAATCCTTTTTTCCAGAGCACCTTTCATTATAACTAATGACATATCTCCTTGGACATTTATGATAAAGATCTGAAGTAATATTGATTTTTGAGCTTTTATCTATTTTTAGTAGCAAAAAATACTGGAACAATGATGACATTTGATTCTACTTACCCATCTTTTAACAAAAGAAATCTGTTAACTGTATCATCATCTTTTTTATTTGTGTTTGTTGTTGGAATTGAATATTTAACACCAGGTGCTGTTTGTCCCTTTACAAGTACAGATGTCGAGTCAGCATGACTTGAGTGACTAGACTTGTTCTGACTTATAGGTGGTTTGTTGTGAGTAGGAGGTGACTCTGCTTTCTCTACATGTTCTTGAGTCATGTCCTCTGGTAATTTATCTTCCATCACAGAACAACTTTCATCTTGTTGATTCTTCACTTCTGTTTTCACAGTCTTGTTCTGTGCACTGAGACTCTCGCTGACCGACTTGATCTGGCCAGCAGTAGGTGCTCTCTTTAAGAGTGTTGTTCCACCTTTTGATACAAACTTCTTACTTCTTGTCCCCCTGATCATGGCCTCCTGGTTTGAGGATTTTTTAGGAAATGAAAGGCTTGGATTTGTTTGAAAAGGTGCCTTCACAGAATTTTTGTTGGATGACAAAGGTCTTTTAATTCCCACAGGTTTTCTGGTATCTGCAATTTGTGTAAGTCTTTGAGTAGTGAATTTTTTTTGTGTCTTCATTTTGCCATCATCTTTTTTCATGGAATTTATTCTTTCATTAGATGAGGTATCCTTTGCTTTCCCCCTTTCATCTGTTGTCAATTCTGTCTGTTGTGTTGATGCAGCCAATTTCCTACAGTAACTCTCTGGACAATCTTCAGCCTGTAAATGTATATTAAATATTATATATTTATTGACTGGGTTTGAGGGCAACATGCGTTTTGTCGCATCCAAGAAACAAACTTCTGCCTGAGGCCTAATAGCCTCAGGCAAACAGTTTGGTTTGAGGGGTCAACAAAATGCATTTTGCCTGAGAACACGGTCAATAAATGTTTTGTTATAACTTTTATTTATTTATTTTTTTTACATACATGTATGTCGAACACCAATGAATGCAAATGAGATTTAGCTGACCCTGCCCATTGTGTGATGTAAGCAGTCCAACATCTCATCGACAGGTCCAATATCTCACTCTGCGGTCAAACATCGATTTTTTTATGCCCGCTCAGTAAAACATTGGAAATGTTAGACTTTTATTAGTACTGATTTATATAGGAACACATTTTTAAAGGTATAACAATAAATGTTACTCTGTGAACTTGTTGTTATGGTTTTTTGTCTTAATTTCTAAAAATATCTTTTTTTTTCCAATTTGGTGCTTTTTTCTTTAAATTCTTCCAACACTTATTCAACCTGCATTTAATAGCTGGGAGCATTACATTGAATTATGTGGAACTCTTCTAAAATATAATTTACTTTTCATGGGCCTTAACAGTCACCTGAGTATAATGTAACGATCCATAAATTAAAACAAAATAAGCTGATAAATAAAGCTATGTTGCCCAAAAGTAAGAGAAATAGGATAATCAGGTACCAGCAAAATATTGATTTAGTACTCAATAACAAATCTTAAAGTTGATCTATTTATTTGACTATACTTTCCCCCATTTGTCACTATACACATGCAGATTAACAAAACAATACACTATTTATTAACACATTTTATTCCCCCTCGCCCTCTCTTGGTCTATGAAAGTACTTTTGTATTGAATATTATAAAAAATTTTGTATAATTCTGATATTAATTGACCTTTTAAGCTACATTATTTACAGTGATTAATTAACATATAGGTGAATAGTAAAGGGGAATAACTTCTTTCAGTAGAAATTAATAATTTGACCAAAAGGTAGAGAATTTCAAAATTTGGTAAAAACACCCCTGCTTATTATAACTTTATATACTCTATTAGCCTCCTAGATGCCCAGGAGCAGAGAAGATTTTCAAGGAAACAATCCATTTTCACTATAGATTCAATATAGTCCCACCCTTATAACAAAACCCCTGACCTAGGGGCCAAGACATTCACAATTTTGGAAGAGGCACTCTTGCTCATCATAACCATGCACTTAAAATGTTTCTTTAATAACAATGGGCATAGAAGAAGAATTTCAGAGAAACAATGCATTTCTAATATATATTCAAAATAGCCTCACCCTAACACCAAAATCCCTGACCTCGGTGGTTATGAATTTCAACTTTTTTGAAAAGATTTCCTTGCTTGTCATAACTATCCAATTAGTTTTTTCTGTGAAATACCTTGGGGCAGAGAAGAAGATTTTCAAAAAAAAAATGCATTTCCACTGGATATTGAATAGACCCCCCCCCCAAACATGAACCCCTGACCCTGGGGCCACAAATTTCACGATTATGGAAGAGGCATCCTTGATCACCATAACCATGCACTTAGTTTATCTACTAAATACCCAGAAGCAGAGAAGATTTTCAAAGAATGCAATTTCACTTTATAATCAATAAAGCCCTGCCCTAACACCAGAACCCCGACCCAGGGGCCAAGATATTCACAATTTTGGAAGAGGCGCTCTTGCTCATCATAACTTTATACTTGGTTTATCTGCAAAATACCTAGGAGCAGAGAGGAAGATTTTCAAAAAAATAATGCATTTTCACTATATGATCAATAGAGCCCCCCTCCCGCAGAACCCCCCAATCTGGGGTCACAAATTTCACAATTTTGAAAGAGGCACCCTTGATCATCATAACCATGCACCTAGTTTATCTGCTTTTTATGCAGGGGGAGAGAAGAAGATTTTTAAAGAATTTATTCATTTTCACTACATGATCAATAGAGCCCCGCCCTAACACCAGAACCCCTGCCTGAGAGGCCAAGATATTCACAATTTTAAAAGAGGAAACCTTCTTCATCATAACTATGTACTTAGTACATTGGCCTAATGCCCAGGAGCAGTGGAGAAGATTTTCAAAGAATTAATGCATTTTCACTTCATAATCATTAGAGCTCCATCCTAACATCACAACCCCTGGCCCAGGCGCCATGAAATTCACAATTTTGGAAAAGGTATCCTTCCTCATCATAACTATGCATTTAGTTTGTTTGCTTAATACCCAGGAGTAAAGGAGAGGATTTTAAGAAATAATGCATTTTCACTATATATTCAACAGAGCCCCACCCTAGCACCAGAACCCCTGACCATGGGGCCATTAATTTTTGTGGTTTTTTGCCTCACCCCTCAGGCCCCAGGGGGGCAGGGATCATGAAATTCACAATTTTTGTTCCCCTTTACCCATAGATACTATATGCCAAAATTGGTTGAAATTGGTTGAGCTGTTTCAGAGAAGCTGAAAATGTTCAAATATTAACGCACAATGCATGACGATGGACAAAAACAGATAGCAAAAAGTCACCTGAGTAAACACAGGTAACCTAATAATTTAATTCTTTTTTTCATGCACCATTTGATTGGATAGAAAAATTATAATTTAACTTTTCATAATATAATAAATAATTAAATTCTTGTTTTATGCATTTTTATGCACCATATGATTGGATAAACTAGAAATATGTCCATAGGACATGAATGCCCCGCCGAGGGCAGAGTTTTTGAAATCCACTGGTCCCACCGGCAAAACTGGTAAATATTTCAAAAGTCTGGTAATTTTCTTCATATAATCGGTCCGAGCAACCGGTAAAAAATATTTCAACCTTTCCGGAATTTTAACCTCTTAACCTGTGGATGTTTTAGTTTATTTGTGAGATGGTCAAAACGATTGAATCTGTGTGTACGATAGAATAAACTCAAAAGCTTTTAGGACAGTTAGTTTTTCACACAATGGCAGCGCCATGGCCTAATAAATTTAGTAAAAGAAAATCTGACCCAATCAAATTACCCATGGGTGAATTTTTTTCCGCCATATCTGTGTTTGTTCAATCAGCTGATTCAATTATACAAAAAAATGTTAATTGTAGCTTTATTTGGGATATAACATTTGTCAACATAATAATGATTTCCCTTAAATATAAAGAGTAATCATTATTATTACATCAAGCATTTCCCCAACAACATTTAGAAGTTCATTTTCTGTGCTAGACAGCCATGTTTGGTGTCCATTGTAAATATCACACCTAGTTAATTCAGTCCGGGGATGTTTAATCCTCTTATTCATTAGCAAACAAAATTAAAAAATAAAAAATCTCAACCTACCAACCCTTGATTTTCTTTAATGTTACAGGAAACAAACACAATTTCTTAAGGCCTAACTGGAATTAAAACAATTTCTCAGGTTTTTTTTAGGTCACCTGAGTCACTCAGGTGACCTATTGCTATCCGTTTTTGTCCGTCGTCTAAGTCATCCGTCGTGCATTAACTTTTGAAAATTTTCAACTTCTTCTCTAACTGGAATTAAAACAATTTCTCAGGGGTTTTTTAGGTCACTCGGGCTACATTTATTAATCACTCAGGTGACCTATTGCTATCCGTTTTTGTCCGTCGTCGTTCGTCGTCCGTCGTGCGTTAACTTTTGAACATTTTCAACTTCTTCTCTAGAACCGCTCAACCAATTTCAACCAATTTTGGCATATAGCTTCTTTGGGTGAAGGGGACCACAAATTGTGAATTTCATGGTCCCTGACCCCTGGGGCCCCAGGGGTGGGGCTAAAACCACCAAAATTGATGCAATCTTTAAAAATCTTCTTCTTTATTCCTGGACATCAAGCAGTCAAACTGTTGGCATGATTGTAATAAGCATTGGGCCCTCTACTTAAATTGTGAAATTCATGGCTCTAGGGTCAGGGCTCTATTGATTATATAGTGAAAATGCATTAATTCTTTGAAAATCTTCTTCTCTTCTCCTGGGTATTATTTAAACAAACTAAGTGCATGGTTATGACAAACATTGATGCCTTTTCCAAAATTGTGAAATTCATGGCCCCTGGGTCAGGGGTTCTGGTGTTGTGGGGGGGGGGGCTCTATTGATTATATAGTGAAAATGCATTAATTCTTTAAAAAAATCTTCTTCTCTGCTCCTGGATATTATTTAAACAAACTAAGTGCATGGTTATGACAAGCATTGATGCCTTTTCCAAAATTGTGAAATTCATGGCCCCTGGGTCAGGGGTTCTGGTGTTGGGGGGGGGGGGGGGGCCCTATTGATTATATATAGTGAAAATGCATTAATTCTTTGAAAATCTTCTTCTCTTCTCCTGGGTATTATTTTAACAAACTAAGTGCATGGTAAAGGTGCACAAGGATGCCTTTTCCAAAATTGTGAAATTCATGGTCCCTGGGTCAGGGGTTCTGGTGTTAGGGGAGGGGGCTCTATTGATTATATAGTGAAAATGCATTAATCTTTGAAAATATTCTTCTCTGCTCCTGGATATTATTTAAACAAACTAAGTGCATGGTTGTGATGCACAAGGATTCCTTTTTCAAAATTGTGAAATTTATGGCCCCAGGGTTAGGGAGGGGGGGGGGGGGCTCTATTGATTATATAGTGAAAAAGCATTAATTCTTTGAACATCTTCTTTTTTGCTCTTGGTTATAAAGTAAATTAAGTGTGTAGTTTTGATGAACAAGAGTGCTTCTTCATGAATCATGACCTCTAAGTCAGATGTTCTGGTGTACGGATGGGACTCTATTGATAATATAGTGAAAATGCATTAATTCTGTTAAATAATCCTCTCTGCTCCTTAGTGTTGAGCAGATAAATAAAGTGCATAGTTATGATGAACAATTGTGCTTCTTACAAAAAGTGCATGGTTATGACAAGCATTGATGCCTTTTCCAAAATTGTGAAATTCATGGCCCCTGGGTCAGGGGTTCTGGTGTGGGGGGGGGGGGGGCTCTATTGATTATATAGTGAAAATGCATTAATTCTTTGAAAATCTTCTTCTCTTCTCCTGGGTATTATTTAAACAAACTAAGTGCATGGTAAAGGTGCACAAGGATGCCTTTTCCAAAATTGTGAAATTCATGGTCCCTGGGTCAGGGGTTCTGGTGTTAGGGGAGGGGGCTCTATTGATTATATAGTGAAAATGCATTCATTCTTTAAAAAAATCTTCTTCTCTGCTCCTGGATATTATTTAAACAAACTAAGTGCATGGTAATGATGCACAAGGATTCCTTTTTCAAAATTGTGAAATTTATGGCCCCTGGGTTAGGGAGGGGGGGGGGGCTCTATTGATTATATAGTGAAAAAGCATTAATTCTTTGAAAATCTTCTTTTCTGCTCCTGGTTATAAAGTAAACTAAGTGTGTAGTTATGACGAACAAGAGTGCTTCTTCATGAATCATGACCTCTAAGTCAGATGTTCTGGTGTACGGATGGGACTCTATTGATAATATAGTGAAAATGCATTAATTTTGTTAAATAATCCTGTCTGCTCCTTAGTGTTGAGCAGATAAATAAAGTGCATAGTTATGATGAACAATTGTGCTTCTTACAAAATGTTAAAACTTGTGGTCTTCAGGTTTTGGTGTTTCTCGGGGGGGGGGGGGGGGGGGGGGGGCTTACATTTATTAATAAAATAAAAATCTGTTAATTCTTTGAAAATATTCAGCTAAGTGCATAGTTATGATGATGAGGGTACCTCTACCAAATTTATGAATTTCATGACCCTGGGACATGGGTTTAAGTGTTAGGGTAGGGGTGTGTTAAATCTGTAGTGAAAATGCATTATTTCTTTGAAAATCTTCTCTGCTCCTTGGCATATCGAAGGCAAATAGAATTAAAGTTTTATTAAGCAAGGATATTTTTACCAGATTTTTGAACATCAGGACCATTTGGTCAAGTTTTCTGGTCCTAGTCAGGGCTCTATTAATTTGTATTCAACTGAGAGAAGTTATTCCCTTGGCCATTTACTTTTGATAATTAATCACTGTAAATAATGTATTTGAAAGTTAATAGAATAAGAGAATTATGCAAAAAAATTATTGAATAATACAAAAAGTACTTTCATAGTTGTAATGATCAGATAGACAAATAATTAATAGATAAAAATGAGACAAAAATAACTTATTAAATGTTCTTCAAAGACCAAGAGAGGCAAATGTGAGAGGTCACAATGTGGGGTTAAAAGTAGTACAGAGGAACTATTAGTTTGTTAATAGTCTGCATGGTGATAGTGCTAAATAGGGGATAAATTAGAATTTAATGTATGAGTTGTTACTGAATACTAGACTAATTATTTCATTGATTCTGATCATCCTATTTCTCTTGCTTTTGGGCAACAAAGCTTCATCTGTCAGTTTACTTTATACTCTATGGATCTTCTAAATTGTTGTATTATACTCAGGTGACCCTTAAGGCCCCTGGGCCTCTTGTTTTTTTTTTAAGTATCTCGATATGTGTGCTGATGGACCAGTGAATATTTGTGTGGACCAGTGAATTTCACTAAATCACTGGTCCACTTGACCAGTGAATATTTCTTTATTTCAAAAACTCTGCGAGGTTATATTAGTAATGCAACATGAAAATTTGTATTAGTGTATAATATTTGACAAGAATATCTTGAATAGCTCCTTTAATATTGAAATTGAAATCTAAAAAGTTGGATATAGATGATAAATTCTTGCCAAATGATATATAAGTGCATAAACTTACATAAATATATCTTAAATGGTTTCTTTAAAATTAAGCAAAATGCAAATCTAAAAAAAAAAGAGGTCAAGGCCACAGGGAAGTTCAAGGTTAAAAGTTTTTGATGCAGTTGAATACTTCTCATTAATACATATCAGCATATTTAAGTTTGATAAAAATATTTTGAATGGTTTATTTAAAACTGAAATAAACACTAATTTAAAATAAATGAAGTTAAGGTCAAAGGAAAGGTCAAGGACAAAAAATGTTGATGCAGTTAAAAAGGTTCATCAGTATGTATTAGCATATGAAGTTTGATAAAAATATTATGAATGTTTTCTTTAAAACTGAGTTAAACACAAATTGAGAAAAGTGAGGTCAAGGTCAAATGAAAGGTCAAGGTCAAAAAATATTGATGCAGTTGAATAGCTTACATAAGTGTGTTTCAGCATATGAAGTTTGACATTAATTTAAGAAAAGTGAGGTCAAAGTCAAAGGAATGGTCAAGATCAAAAAATGTTGATGCAGTTGAATAGCTTACATCCGTATGTATCAACATATGAAGTTTGATTACAATATCTTGAATGGTATCTTTAAAACTGAGCTAAACACTAATTTAAGAAAAGTGAGGTCAAGGTCAAAGGAAAGGTCAAGGTCAAAAAATGTTGATGCAGTTGAATAGCTTACATCAGTATGTATCAACATATGAAGTTTGATTACACTACCTTGAATGGTATCTTTAAAACTGAGCTAAACACTAATTTAAGAAAAGTGAGGTCAAGGTCAAATGAAAGGTCAAGGTCAAAAAATGCTGATGCAGTTGCATAGCTCTCATCAATATCTATCAGCATATGAAGTTTGATAAAAATATCTTGGATAGTTTCTTTGAAACTGAGGTTTGAACAGAGCTAAACGCAAAGTGTGACGGAAAGACGGACTGAAAACGGACATGATAAACACTATATGCCACGGCCATATTCATGGCGGGGCATAAAAATTCAATTCATATTGTATAACCAACCTGTGTTGCCTATGTCACAATATGACATATCAATCCTCTTGACATTACTCTTAAATTTTGTACAATTTGAAGGCATTTTTTAGGTAAATTTTCTTTCTGAATGATAGAGAGATTAAATTATAAAGAATAAATTCAAAAGCTACCAAAGTTATACATGAAACAGTTTACCCTTTTAAGTCACCTGAGTGACTCAGATGACCTATTGCTATCTATTTTTGTCTGTCTTCATTTGCCGTGTGAATTTCATGGTCCCTGCCTCCCAAAGACCTTAAGGGTGGGGCAAAAACTATCAAAATTAATGCAATGTTTAAAAATCTTCTTTACTCCTAAACATCACGCAGTCAAACTGATGGCATGATTGTAATATGCATTGTGACCTCTATTTAAGTCATAAAATTCATGACCCAGGGTTGGGGTTCTGGAGTAAGGGCAGAGCTCTATAGATCATATAGTAAAAATGCATAAATTCTTCAAAAATCTTCTTCTCTTCCCCTGTATATTTAAAGACAAACTAGGTGCATATATAAGATAAGCAAGGGTGCCTCTTCCAAAATTGTGAAATTCATGGCCCCTGGGTCAGGGGTTCTTTTATTAAGGCAGGATCTATTAATGCATGAAAATCTTTCGCATTCCTGGCTATGAAGAATACTAACTAAGTACATGGTTATAATGAACAAGGGTGTATTTTCCAAAATTCATGGTCCCTGGGTCAGGGGTTCTGGAGTTAAGGTGAAGCTCTATTGGCAATATAGTGAAAATGCATTAATTAATTCTTTAAACATTTTCTCTACTCCTGGATATTTAGCAGATAAATTAAGTGCATGGTCATGATGAGCAATAGTGCCTCTTCCAAAACTTTGAATTCTATGGCCCCTGGGTCAGGGGTTCTTGTGTTAGGTGGGGTTCTATTGATTATATAGTAAAAATGCATTAATTCTTTAGAAATATTCTTCTCTGATCCTGGGTATTTAGCAATCACACTAAGTACATAGATATGATGAGCAAGGATGCCTCTTCCAAAGTATGGAATATATGGCCCCTGGGTCAGGGTTCTGGTGTTAGGGCAGAGCTTTTGATCATACATGTACATATGAAAATTCATTAATTCTTTAAAAAATATTCTTCTCTGATACTTGGTGTTTAGCAAACATGGTAAGTGCATAGTTATAATGAGCAAGGGTGCCTCTTCCAAAGTTATGAAATTCGTGGTCCTTGGGTCAGGGGTTCTGGTATTAAGACAGAGCTTTTGATTAAATAGTGAAAAATGCATTAATTCTTTAAAATTCTTCTTCTCTGATCCTGAGTATTTAGCAAACAGACTTAGTGCATAATTATGATGAGCAAGTGTGCCTCTACCAAAATTGTGAAATTCAAGCCCCTTCAGTAGGTCAAGGGTTCCAGTGTTAAGGCAGGAACCTATTGATTATAATAGTGGAAATGCATGAATTCTTCCAAAATCTTCTTCTCTGATCCTGGGCAACAGATTACAATTAAAGCTGTAAAGAGTAAGGGTGTTTTTATCAGATTTGTGAAATTCAGGACCACTGGCTTAGGTGTTCTGATACTGGGCAGGGCTCTATTGATCTTGCAGGGAAATTTGTTCACCACTTCGAAAAGTTATTCCCCTTTGCTATTCACCTATGATAATTAATCACTGTGAATAATGCAACTGATAGGTCAATTGAATATAAGAATTATACAAGAATTTTTAATGTATTATGCAAAAAGTACTTTCATGGTTTTTAATGGTCAGGTAGACTTGTGAATAATAGATACCGGTAAATAAGAATTTCTCTTTGGATATTAAATGTTCTTCAAAGTTCAAGAGAGGCCAAAGTTGGAGGGAGCTGTATATGCTTAAGAACTGTGGTTTTGTTTAGTGTGCATGGTGATAGTGACAAATGGGAGTGTATTAGCACTGGCAAGTACAAGAAAGTAAATAGATCTACTTTATGACTTGTTACTAAGTACTAGATTTTTTTTTGTTTATACTTCTACAGATCCTTTAGATTGTCTTATTATACTCAGGTAACCACTTAGGCCCTCGGGCCTCTTGTTCATATATGGCTTCATTGTTTTTAAAGTGATATATGCCCATATCAAGGTTATACAGTGTAAATTGCATAGCTTTAAAATCCATTCCTTAAATTAAAAAAAGAAGTCTGTTATTTGAATTAAAACAACCACGACTGCGCTAACTTTTTACATAAATTAGTGTTCTGTCAAAATAACCTGCCTTTTTCTGTAAATTTCTTGCTTTTTCAGCCTTAACAAGTATCTTCTCCATGGCATTGATTGCTTCTCTTTCATCCTGTGTTAAGGTTTCTGAAATTTGATCATCTATAAATCTAATACAAATTCAACAAACTTAAGAAAAAAAATATAAAGCCCACGTACATCTTCTTGGTTTTATAACAAACACCAATACTTTTTCCTGTAAATATGCTCTTACATATGAATATTCAATATATGTGTCAAGGTGACATGAATATCCCCACCGACATGCAAATTTTAAATATGTGAAAGTCCAAGAGTGAGAAAATAACAATTTGGTGGAAATGGCACAAAAATAAAATACACTGCTGCTTTTATTTTCTGGAATCCATTGCCTATACATGTACTACAACATACTTAAACTGTGTGAAATGGTGGTAATTTACTTTCAAAATAATAAAAAGGTCCAAAAACATTAATTAATTCAATATTTTGAAAGACTAAGGGCCATAACATTTGTAAAATGGGTTAATCAATATGAAACTCATATTTGATCTGTAAGTCATCAATACATGGAGACAAACCTACAAGCACAACAAAATTACTACTGGTGTGTACTTGGTGTATCTTAGAATAGTGTACTTGTGTACCAAGTCTTATTGAATTTGGACTAAAATTGAAAGCATTCTGAAAGAATTTCAAAGAAATGTCAATTTTAAGTAATCATGGCAACACTGTTTGTAAAAATCAAAAAACCATCTTAGAGAATTATGTATCTTAGTATAGTGTACATGTGTATCAAGTCTTATTAAAATTGGACCAAAACTGTAGGAGGAGTAGCATTTTGAAAGAATTTCATAGAAATTTTGATTTTTAGTAATCATTACAACACAGTTTGTTGAAATCAAAAACCAATATAAAGATTAATGTAACTTAATATATTGTACTTGTGTACCAAATCTTACTGAAATTAGAACAAAGCTTAAGGAGGAGCATTTTGAATTTCAAAGAAATTTCTTTTTTAGTAACCATGGTAACATTATTCGTCAAAATCAAAAATGTGCCCATAAAGTTATGTAGTATATTGTACTTGTGTACAAAATCTGATTGAAATTGGATCAAAACTGTAGGAGGAGTAGCGTTTTAAAAGAAATCCAAAGAAATTTCTATTTTTAGTAATCATGGCAACACTGTTCATTGAAATCAAAAACCCATAAAAAGAATTTGTATCTTAGTATATTGTACATGTGTACCAAGTCTTGTTGAAATTGGACCAAAATTGTAGGAGGAGTAATGTTTTGAAAGAATTTCAAAAAAATGTTCGATTTTTAGTAACCATGGCAACATGGTTTGTCCAAATCAAAAACTGACCAGTAGAATCATCTCATTATCTACAAACATAGAAAAAGGTCTGGAAAACAGTGATGTTTTTTAGATGCCTTCAAAGTCTATGTGCCATAACTTGAGTAAAAATGGTTCAATCAAGAGAGATACTAAATATCTACTCATTATCTTTGAGCATAGCAAAATAAGTCCAGAAAACAGTGAATTATTAAAAATTTTCCAAGTCTAAGGGTCATAACTTTTGTAAATATGGATCAATCATCACGGAATTTGAACTTGATCTGCAAACATCAATATCAAGAGACATGCACATCAAAAATCAACTAGAGGCTTAGTAAAAAAAAGTCTGGAAAACAAACTTGACAAAATGACAATGACGGAATGACAGAATGACAACAGGAAAAGGGTCACACTATATGCCCTGGCCATTTCATAGCGGGGGCATAAAAAAAACAGTGATGTTTTATTTTTTCTTGCATGCAAATGTCCTTTCAAACCTTTAGGATCTTCTCCAGATTTTACATTGTTAAGCTGTGTCATATCTATCTTCTTTTCGTCAAATGAATCTTTACCATTGCTAGGCCTGGAAAATTATTTAGGATGCAACACTGATTTTCATGTAAACATAAACAAAACTTTTGAAATTTGCCAAAAATAAAAAAAATTACCATGGCTTGAAGAGAAGCTGCAACTGGAAACAATCATATTCAGTTGCTTTTATCTTCTTCTCAACATCCCTATATAATTCAGCCAAATATTGAAATGCACTGAAAAAATATAAATTGTGCATATCAGGATATTCAGTAGTATTAAATTTATACTGAGTGTACCTAGAGATAATGATTCCTTTTAACAATTTTTTTCTGTGTGTTGCCAATGAAGCAAAACAAAAAGAGGCAGATAATTCTAATAATTCGCTCTGTTTTTCTGGATTGAAACTATATGGAACATATTCTGACTATGGGTAGAATTTGTCTTAAGGTGTAATATTCCTCTGATAAGAAAGATAACTTTCCAAGGAAATTATTCCAAGTAATGCAATGAATTTTCTTACCAGACTTTAATAATGAGGACCATCATATAGTCAACTCATTCGAATCTGAACTATGTTACAAATATTGATTTCTATTTTCTATTGCCAACATTTTTATTAATTACTTATAATAGTTTACCTAAAACATTTATACTCAGTTCCTTTAAACTGTTAAAACTGAGATATTTCTATCTCTTCAAATATAATTTTTTTAATTGTTATAAAAATTTCAGATGCAGAATTTTTTTTATACTCAATTAGTTAATATTTCTTTTCACTAAAAAATATTTTGAATAATGATAACTTCTGTAGATGGAAAGATAACACTTGTAGATGGATGCATTTTATTTTACAAGCACAGAAAACAATGTGATATTCTGATTTAAAAAGCAATGCGTCATTACGTTTTCTAATGTGAATTAGGTAGGTAGGAGAGTAAATATTATTTTCATATATACCTCATATTTTTAATTTTATGTTGAGATAAAAAATTATTTATCTTTTTATTCACCATATCATATTTTCTTCTTATCATGATTATAGACATAATATTCATCTCTGAAAAAGTAAGCAATGCTTCATACTTCAAACTATTTTCCATTTTAATCTAATGCTATTGTTGTTGATGAAAATCAATGTTGGGAATTTTAAAAAAGAATTGGTGAAATTGGAGCAGAGGGATATTTCACTTTTAGACACAGATTATTCTAACTAGTGTAACCTAAAATAACATTGGACACTCCTACGCCATTTCAATTCCCTGGAAACAGAAGACCCTCCTTGAATGATAGGAAAAGTCATAAACGGGAAGAAAAAAGTTAGGCCATGAAAAACTGTGCCAGTGGTGATAATTTTCTTAAGATACGCTAATCCATTCCATCATAAGAAGATAAATGTCAGACACCTCAGCCCAATGACACCTCGGTCCATGGACATTAGGCCCAATGACACCTCAGCTCAGACTGATTGTCCCAAGGTTTAAGACAGTTCAGCCCATATATTAGACACCTCAGCCCAAGCAAAATTTCATAAGGAAATATATTGTACATTTCCAATTTGTGACTTGAATAAGATATTGACTGAAAAAACTAAATGAATAAACGATGAAGATTTTTTCGTAATTATTTAAAGACCGTCCATGAGCCTAGGCAAAAAGAAAATTTGGACTTCCTGGACTTAGCATGTTGATCCAAATGAATTTTTGTTGCAGTAACCTCTGGACCCACAATCCTTTGCGAATTGCATCTCGCCACAAACTAAGTTCTCGCAGTAACAGTGAAAGTTCAACTCCCTCTCCCTCCCCCCAAAATAAACTCATCTTGATTTAATGGATATTGCAGATAAATAGTAGATTAAACGTATTGTTAAAATTTGCACTTTTCAGACTTCGTTATGGTAATGCAACTAACATACAACATCATGTGACATCAAAGTCTACATTCCAAATGTCACGAGCAGTTTGAAGAGGCAGATCTAATGCTCACCCTAATGGTCGCACCGTCAACATTTTAAATTTTGTTTGGGCCGAGGTGTCTGTTATATGGGCCGACATATCAATAGTCTTGGGCCGACCAGACTGTTAGGGCCGAATTGTCATGCGTGACGGGCCGAGGTGTCGTTGGGCTGAGACGTCTGACAGATATGGAATTTTTGACACACATTCGGAAATATAAATTTTCATCGTCGAATATAATGTTAAAATAAAATGATATAAAAAAAGTTGATATGATAAGTAACAAAATAAGCATTTTGGCGCACGTGCTTACTTTTCAGTTGATGATAAACAAAGTAAATCTATGGAAGCCGCCATTTTGAAAGGAGAAAATGCTCTGTTAATCCGTACATATTAATTTCGAGTATTTTTTAAAGGTTATTTGCCTTTTGAAATAATCGATGTGGAGATTCTTGTGAGGATAATACTTCCAATGAATAAAGATATAAATAATATGCGTCACTGAAATATGCCTACTACCGAATATATCAACCGTCATGTGGAAAATCATGGAACAAGCAATTATCAACATACGGGACATTCGCAAAAGCGAATTATGGCCGCCGAAAACACGCCTCGAAAACTTGCTGATTTGCGTGTTGTGGATTTACGCCAAGAATTAGAAAAGAGGGGTTTGGATAAAACAGGAGTGAAAGCTGTCTTGACTGAAAGGTTGCAGAAGGTATGTTTTAGTCTTTCTCTTGCGTGATGCATATCTTTTTATTGGAAACCTCATGCTGATCCGCCATATTGAATATCATGAAATTCCCAGAACTAGTTCATATTAGAAAAGCTAATTTGTACAGATTTTAACTGCATTACCTCGTTGTCGTATAGCTATTTTTAATTATGATGAAAGTATAACAAGGCATTTGTGCCATGTAAAGTCCTGCAGTGTTTGAACACGAAAGTTTTTTTTTTGCCTGCACAGGACACATTCCACAGGGACTTGAGACAATCTTAGCAAAATCGGGTATATAGTATAATAGGGAAGAAGGGACCTAACGAGCCGCCATTAATTCCTTGGTGCCTCGCTTCAAACTCTAAAAACTTCGATTTATATTAAAAAAAAACCCATGAAAAAGTTTTGCCAGTTGAAAGGCAGAATGTTGTCCTTTATTTTCATAAATTGATCATTTACCTTACTTCATTAAAACTTAAAAAAAAATATTCGAACTTCCGAGAATCAAGTTGCCGTCATTAACCCTACACCATTTTTTTCCATGCAATTTTCGTGCATTACCTTAATTTTTCCACCATTGTCATCTGTTGCACTCTATCTTAGAGCACCGTTTAAAAATATTACTGCTTTTGGTCATCCTCATAATATTTGAGGGACCGTTGATCATCCGTCTCGAGAGATCAGCTCCATTTTCACCTTCGATTAGCCTCAGAGTTCATTCGGGTCAGCCATATTTGATTCCGTAAAAAAACTAGTAATATTATCCAATCGTCTTTCATCGTTTAAACTTTAGTCATTCAGTGCAGATTTCATTCAATATGGTTGACCCGAATGAACTCAGAGGCTAATAAAAGGTGCAAGAAAATCATATCGTCATACATATCGTATCGTAAGCACCTTACTTTTATCATATAGCCAGAACAATGGGTTTTCCCACTGCAGCAAAAATTGAGGCCTTATTTAATTTAAATAAGTTTAATAATGACTCAAGAGAAAAAGTTTTTCTTCTTATTAATAATGTGGAAAATAACTTTACATTTGCCACTGTTTTGTATCAAATCTTTTTTAGGCTTTGGAAGAAGAGGGAGAGAATCCTGAAGAGTATGACTTTGAATCAACAAGCACACCTAAAAAAGGGCCCACAAACAAAGTTAATGACAGTAAGTCAACAGGCACCTAAAAAAAAAGGGCCCACTAACAAAGTTAATGACAGTAAGTCAACAGGTACACCTAAAAAAGGTCCCACTAACAAAGTTAATGACAGTAAGTCAACAAGCACACCTAAAAAAGGGCCCACTAACAAAGTTAATGACAGTAAGTCAACAGGTACACCTAAAAAAGTCCCACTAACAAAGTTAATGACAGTATGTAAACAGGCACACCTAAAAAGGGGGCCACTAACAAAGTTAATGACAGTAAGTCAACAAGCACACCTAAAAAAGGGCCCACTAACAAAGTTAATGACAGTAAGTCAAAAAGCACACCTAAAAAAAGGGCCCACTAACAAAGTTAATGACAGTAAGTCAACAGGTACACCTAAAAAAGGTCCCACTAACAAAGTTAATGACAGTATGTAAACAGGCACACTTAAAAAAGGGCCCACTAACAAAGTTAATGACAGTAAGTCAACAAGCACACCTAAAAAGGGCCCACTAACAAAGTTAATGACAGTAAGTCAACAGGCACACCTAAAAATGGGGCCACTAACAAAGTTAATGACAGTAAGTCAACAAGCACACCTAAAAAAGGGCCCACTAACAAAGTTAATGACAGTAAGTCAAAAAGCACACCTAAAAAAAGGGCCCACTAACAAAGTTAATGACAGTAAGTCAACAAGCACACCTAAAAAAGGGCCCACTAACAAAGTTAATGACAGTAAGTCAACAGGCACCTATAAAAAGGGGGCCCACTAACAAAGTTAATGACAGTAAGTCAACAAGCACACCTAACAAAAGGGCCCAATAACAAAGTTAATGACAGTATGTAACCAGGCACACCTAAAAAAGGGCCCACTAACAAAGTTAATGACAGTAAGTCAACAGGCACCTCTAAAAAAGGGGCCCACTAACAAAGTTAATGACAGTAAGTCAACAAGCACACCTAAAAAAGGGCCCACTAACAAAGTTAATGACAGTATGTAACCAGGCACACCTAAAAAAGGGCCCAATAACAAAGTTAATGACAGTAAGTCAACAGGCACCTCTAAAAAAGGGACCCACTAACAAAGTTAATGACAGTAAGTCAACAAGCACACCTAAAAAAGGGCCCACTAACAAAGTTAACGACAGTAAGTCTAAAGGCACACCTAAAAAAGGGCCCAATAACAAAGGTAATGACAGTAAATCAAAAGGGACACCTAAAAAAGGGCCCACAAACAAAGGTAATTTCATTCTCTGCTGTTTTTAAGAGCTGTCTGATTAGTTAGTCTAAAGAAGCTAACTGATCATATCATGGTTTATATGAGATTTAATAAATGGCCATGTAAGGATTAGCAGTGTCTGATTACTTTGATCAGAGACATATATTACTGTAACATATTTTACTATATAGATAACAGAGATTAGCAACTTTGCAATTAACAGCTTCATTTGCTAAAATATATGCCAGGCGCTGCATTTTTAAGTAATAAAATGCAATGGCACTTAAAGACACCATTAATTAAAAGTTGGGCGGAATCTAAATAGATATGGCTGACCACATGTCACCTGTTGCCTTTTAAAACTCCTCTTGATTATTTAAAAAAAAAGGAAGATATTTTAACATGATAAAAAAATTGTTTATAGGATTTAAAAGATTTTATTTTTCTTATCTTAAGTTTGTGATAATTTTAAAGATAAATGTGATTTAAATTGGTGTTTTTGTTTTCCTTGAAATCCTGCCAGTGGTGGGATAATGCAAGTTGTTGTGGAGTTGTGAATCCGTTAGTTGATTTCATGAAAAAAGATAGCATACACTTTACATTACAATATACAAGAGGACCAAATCAAGTTTCTTACCAGCCTCAGAAGGGCAAAACCATTTTATTTCTTTCATCTCTAGTCTCTATTATCATGCTTAGTAAAAAGAATTATATTTTTTAAATTGAGTTATGAGATTTTTTTTTTTTTTTTTTGGATAATCAATTTTTGAGTTTATTGGAAAAGCAATGTTAATTATTTAAACCAAAATTTGAAATTTCTCTGATTCATGGCAGCCCTTATAGAAATTTATAGCAATTGAGCTTTTATGATACAAGTGCTTTATTTTGCAGAGTCGGAGGAAAAAGATGATGTGAAAGAAAAGGTATACACATTTAAGTCTACTTGTGTGATAAAATCTGACAGTGAGATGGTTTCTTATGCAATGTTACTAAACATAGGAAATATATTATCTGATCTATCATAACTATCATAAATTTTTTGTTTGAGTATAAATAGTCATCTACATGTAGCTTCATGCCTGAGATTAACAATTTTGACATATATTAAAAAGTATCTTGCAATGACATGTCTATGAAAAAGCATTTGAGCTAGTTCTAAAGACCCTTCCCCCCAAAGTACCCTGTTGTTGTTTTATAGGAAGGGGAAGATGAAGAGCTGGATGATTCTTTGCTGACAGTAGAGGATGACAAACAAGAGAATGGAGAAGATACTCCCATGGATGATAGCAAACTATTAGAGGTAATTAATTAGGCAAAGATTGTTAAAGGTATTGTACAGTTGCATGATTGGACAAAAAGATAATTATTACACATATGAAATTAATTTCCTTCTCAAGGATGCTCCAGATACTACAGAAAAAATGGAAACTGATGTAAATCCTCCCACTGAAAAAGCCGAAGCCAAGCAGGTAATGAAAAGTCTAAAACTATCACTCAGATCTGTTTTAAGAAAAAAAAAAATCTTGATGAAACAACTATGTTTAACACTAATTAATGTTGGATATTAATTCTTAAAGGTTTTAATACAAACTAATTGGTTAAAAAACGATAAGAGTTATCTAATATGAAATGCTAATGCAGAATCTTCATTCCATACCGTATTTGGCCGAATATAATACGCAGTGGTGTAAAATACGCACCCCCCTTTTTGAGCCTGAAACTGGGGGAAAAAACGCAGTTGGGTTGTATTATACGCAGCAGAAAATTTTACCAAGCATTGTTCTGAACTTTTGGAAATTGCGGTAATTTGCTATGAAAATCGGCGCGGAGATAAAGTGCCGAAAATTGACAGAACACGATATTTTATTCAAATGCGTTTTTATTTCTTAATCTTGACTTTCCATATTGCGGCAATCTGGAGGAAATTATTTATTTTAACAAAGCACGAGATAATGTTGCATTAAAGTATTAACAGAGTTTATTATTATTAATTTTTTTTTTTAGCAAACGGTGATATTGAAATTATACGTCGCCGTATTCTAACTAATCTTTGTGGAAATAATTTTATTTCAACAAAGCACGAGATATTGTTGCAAGTTTAACAGTTGTCATATTTGTTTTTAGTTTAAGGTAATCATGTTGAAAATTATGTAAATTTAACAGGGCAAGCGATATTGCAACATCAAAGTATTCATAGACTACGATTTTCCCCTTTTGAACTTGAAATTAATTAATTAAATAGCTGATGTTATAAAAATAAAATCAAAATTTAACAAGCGTATAAAGTGTAGTTATCAACACACCTCCAAAGCTATGAAAAATGATGTACAAAGGTGGGATATATGTATTCATACATCGAGATAATCTTCGTGGATATCTTATTTTCTACAGAGCACGAGTAAATGATAGCACTTAAGTTTCAACATACTTCATATTTCCTTTTTTTAACTCTCAATCATTTTAACACGAGGCCGATATAAGATAAAGTAAAATAACATTTAACAAGCGTTTAACTGTTTAATGTGTCGTAATCAACACACGCTTATACATACGAAAGATCATAAACCAACCCCCGATTTTTAACAAAGGAAATAATCAAAGTCATTAATAAGGGTAGTAAATAATCAGTGCTCTAACTGTAAAAACAATGCTTTGGAGTCGGTAAACAATTTAATTGCCTGGAGGGGTGTTGAGGGGTAATTATCAAGTGACAAGAGCACGTGTTCACAACATTGGCTTCCATTCATTTGGACGTATAGAGGGGTGTTTATGTTGAAATGAATTTTCACTGAGTTATTTAAAACCTAAAATAAATTTTATTTTATTGTATTTCATTAAAAAATGACTTATTACTTTTTTTGACCAGGTGTCTGACTGATTAGGTACATGTGTACTATGATTACGGAAGCACGTGGCAAAGGAATGTGTGAACATCTATAAATAACATCGTTAATGGCGGCCTACTCGGAGACGATGAACATGCAGCTCAAATTAATTTTAACTTGCTTTTAAATTTAATTTAACTATCAAAAGGTTATAAATATAGCATTTTTAACAAGTCTACATTCCAACGATAACTTTCCGAAGTTCTAAATACGGCGATAAACAGCAAGAAATTGCACAAGTCTAGGTAATACTACGGTATGTGCGTATGATAGCCGTGTTTCACATGAAAGAAAAACCTATCAAAATCCCATTGTGGTGTAAAATACGCACCCCTTTCTCACAGAAAATTATTTTGGGAAAAAAGTGCGTATTATATTCAGCCAAATACGGTAATTGGATTATTTTAACAAACAAAGGTCTTTAATTTAAAGACTTCTCTCATGATTAAAAAAAGAAAGACACTATTAATGCACATCCTTTCTTTATTGTAAACAACTATAAGTTGTGTTTACTTACTCCAAGCAAAAAAGTTGCTTAATTTCAGCTAGTGATGTACAGTTTTTATGTCAGAGTACTCAAGTGACTGTGAAGGCCCATGGGCCTCTCATTTATCAAATGATACAAGTTCAGGTGTTGGTAGCTTTGGAGCAAGTTGATAAAATAAGGTAAATTATTTTTTTTTGTGTATTTGACATGAAAACAAATGCTTTGATTTGTTTTAGGATCCTGCGGTACTTGATAAAACCGTTGTTGAGGCCAAGCAGACAGAAATTTCTGTGACTGTCACAGTTAAAAATGAGGAGACATCAATAACAAATAGTAAAGGTAAAATTAAAATTACAGGTATAGTTCTATATTTATTTGTACAATTTAACAGCTGTAAAAATAGGCATTTTATGTTAAGAAATGAAAGGTTGTTTGCAACTTGTTAAGGACGAGTTGGATTCACGTAAAGCAGATTTATGCCATGAGAGATGAAATGGAAGTTCATTTACCATTGAAGACTTTATAATCAATTGAGAGTGACAGAATGGATATGCTGATTAAAACTAAAGGCAGGAACATTTAGTCCCAAAATGATCATGGAAAAATCTAACAAAGATTATAAGAAGAACTTATCAGTTTGTGGATTTTCACAGCTATATAACCAACTTTCCTAAATACTCTGTCTACAGAATTGATTTGAACTCTTAATGTCTGTCAAGAAGAGGAAAACTTTTCTGAAAAGAACTTATAATATGGAAAATAACATTTACCTACATGTATTAAGAAGATGATAATATGGAAAATAACATTTACCTACATGTATTAAGAAGACGAAGAAGATTCTGAAGATGAATTAACGGGACAGACCTTTCCGTGAAGATAAGTGAAGAATTAAATGCACTAGAACAACTTTAAGTGAAAACAAAGAAGAAATGATGTGGCCTGAAGAACTGACATAAGTTTGGACAGATCTAATGATGTCTTCAGTTCTTATTGCTGTTTATATACTGTACTGCAGATTTGAAGGGAGAGGAATTTGTGTACAAGTTCATTAAAATGTTTTAGTTTGAGATATGTTTGTAGTGATTAATCAATGGTCTTTATCCCTTGCCCACAAATCACATATTCCATTCTTTATCAGGACATTTAAATATGATCCATTGTGTTAAGTCTTAAAATTTAATGAATTGAATTTCTGTAGCATCTGCTCAGTCTACACCAAAAGTTGAGGTGGAGGTTATAAAGGAACCCCAAATGGTAACTCCTAAGTCCACAGAAGTGACCAATGAATCTTCTAGCAGTGAAGCAACTTCATCTGATAAAGAAGTAAAGCCAGAAACCTCAAATCAATCCGAGTCCAAAGAGTCAACTCCAGTGACCTCCAGTGCCCCAGAAACTACCCTAGAGGAGAGAAAAACAGCTCCAGACACAACAAGTACACCAAACACAGAGGATCCTGAGCCACTGGATGTTCACGTAGATGACACACAAAATGACCTGGATTCCGATATTCTTGAAACTAAAACTTCAAAATCTGATAAAAAAGATAAACCCGCTCCAAGTAATGAAGTCATGGATACATCTGGAGGTGAAGGAGCTCCTACAAGTTCTACTGTCGCAAGCTCTGACGGTAAAATTGACAGTTCAGGTACAGAAAATGCCTCTGCTCCTAAAACTACAGAAGCTGATTCTACACTCTCCTCCACCACCACTACTGCCAGTCCTGGTGAAAAGATGGAAGACAGCAAGTCCAAAAGGTCGGTCGGGTTTGTATGGTACATTGTATATTGCTTTCCTTTACCTTGAAGGGAGATGGCATGTCTCATCAGGTTAGAGACGAACCTTTTCTGTTCCTACATCATAGAATGATGGCTAGGATAGAAATAACAAGCTCATTTCCTATCTGTAGCCCCCATATTGGCCTCTTTAAAGAAAAAGCAAACTTTTTTTTTTACATCTATGATTAAATCATTTTGCCTCTCTTTGTGTCATCTTCTACTGCACCCCCTGATTTAAATGTTAAGTACCAGAACACGTCCCAGATTTCCAGGCAGAGCCCAGTTATGAAGAGATTGCCAGGTGAAGAAGACTTAACCCACAGAAGTAATTGAAGAATTGGATAGATAGATATATATATATACCTTCCATCATATATCTAATCATTATCATTTTGTTTCAGATAAGTTTAATTTTGGGCTTTGAATCCATCTATTACATTTATTTTTAATTTTTTCAGCACTGACACCAAGGAGCAGAAAAAAGATGATAAAGGTAAGCAGTCATTAAGGATACACCAAAGGCTTTTTTCAAGATTTTCAACAATTTTGAGATTTTTGGCCAAGAAAAAGAAGTTAATCACTGCTTTATAATGCATGTAAAATTCTTGGTAATTATGAAATGGTTTTCTAATTATTGAACAATAATGAAACATAAACACTACCACATGTGAATGTTCCGTTATTGAAGCTTCTGATTTGATCTGTGACTGCCTGCTCATGAAAGACGCAATAAATCACTGTGACCACTTGGGGAATTCTTCACTAGCCACACAGAGGTTATCAGTAATTAAACTACAGGGACTCTAGATTTAGAGAAAGAGATCTAACAGATCACTGATGACCATGAAATAGGAGGTGGAGCTTAGCTCTTGCCATTTTGCCGGGAAATCTTTCTGATTCAGAATTGAACCTATTTTACTTAATTAAAAGCATCTAAATACAGAAAAGAACCTCCCATTCTTGTGAATATGCATAGGAAATATGGCTAAGTGGCAGGTATCCAAAGCTGAATCTCCAAGGTGTCATATATTCCTAGCTTTGGCAGATTTTGTTGTGTAATGGGTTTTTGCCCTCTACTGTAAAGTAAGATCAGACAGTTTGTGGTATTATTTCAAAGGATTCAGCTCCCTTATTTATGGACCAATTTCTCTGAAAATTGGATGGGTTGCTTCTCAAATGTGTGTTCACAAAACCGTATCTCAGATTTTTGATATCTAGCTTAGTTTTGGAATTATTGAGGGAAATGTTAAATTAGGCTAATAAATTGGTAACATTGAAGGACAAATGGCTGTAACTTTTGAATTAGAAGATTTATCAAAAATCTGAGATACGGTTTTTAAGTTCAATCTTTAGTCTACCTTGAGGTAAAATGACCACTGTGAGGGGTTAAATACAAAAAAGTTGATTTATAAAATATTTAAGCACTAAAATTTACATTAATATTTAAATAATTTTTGAATAAGTTATTAATTAAAGTTTAAATTAGGATAATTAAATAGTAAATTTTACAAGCTTTCAAATGATATATACTTTTATTATGTTATCTTTGATAATGAAAGAATTACATGCCAATTAAATTCTGGCATATGGAAACCTTTGGTGTATCCTTAAGTTCTTTCATCTTCCCTGAAAAAGATAAATTTAGATTGAGGAAGTTTCTGATTTTTTATGCATTTATGTACTTTATATTTCATTAATTCAACATTAATTTATAGGAAAAAGCACTTCAGGCCGGAATCTTTGGGTTAGTGGACTGTCATCTTCAACTCGTGCTACTGATCTGAAATCCTTGTTCAGCAAATATGGAAAGGTTTGTGGTTTAAAGCTTCATAACAAAAACTCCTTTTAAAACAGCATCAGATTGAGATTTTTATATGTTAATTATATTTAAGTTGAATTGATTTGTGTGATTTTGAATGATTCTGGACACGTAATACATTTGGCAGTGTACTGTATTTTAGCACTTTTGGCTGAAAGCAGTTTCTTCTAAATCAAGTACACTGCTAAATATTTTGTAGCATAAATAATAATTTATACATTCAGAAATGCACTAAATCAAATCTACGCTAATTTGTTAAAAATATAAATGCCAGCGGAATATTGTACCTGCTAAATATAATACATTTACAGCTCATCATTGGGTGAAATATTTTTTTGGAGTTTATAGTAAAATTCTGTTTGACAGGTGGTAGGAGCTAAGGTTGTGACCAATGCTAGGAGCCCTGGGTCTCGATGTTATGGATTTGTTACAATGTCCACTGCAGATGAGGCATCTAAGTGTATCCAGCACTTACATCGTACAGAACTTCATGGCAAAATGATTTCTGTGGAGAGGGTAAATGCAGATTGACTTTTAAAAAAGATGCTGAATTACAGAATTGAGTAAAAAGGGGGCAGAGATTGTTCAAAATGATTGGCTCATGATTATTTATTTACATTTAACAGGCTAAAAATGAGCCAGGAGGACAGGCAAAAGGATTGGTCAGCACCCCAAGTAGTAGCCCTGCAGGACGTGGAGCAAAGGCTGACGACAAAAAGGCACCTCCAGCTAAACGAGACGATAGAAGTAAGAAGAGTTGTGGACTAATTTACATTTTTATAGCTGTGTTTATATACATTTACAGTATATTATTATGTAGCTGTAGAATTTTTTTAGTTATTAATAGAATTTTCTAAGTTGATTATTTGTTTTGCACAGGTAAAAGAGACGAGAAGAAACCAGTGGAGAAAAAAGAGGACAAGAAAGATTCCAAGAAAGATGAAAAAACGCCAACAAAGAAAGATGATAAAAAAGATAGCAACAAGAAAGATTCTCATTCTACCAGGAAAACCACACCTAAAAAGACTGATGGTAGTGTAAACCAGATTATTTTTAATTTGAATCTGTAAAAATATTAAAGCCTCAAATATGCAAGTGCATTTTGAATGTGAACATTTTCAAACAGTGACTATAAAATTTTTGATTCAAACTTCATATTTCAGAAAAGCCTAGGACTGTTGTGATGGACAAAGAAAAGGGGGAACCTGTGGTTGTCATTAAGGAGGAGGAAGGAAAAGAGGCCAAAGAAGGGGGAGCCCCAGACAGGGCCAAATCAACCACCTCAACCCACTCCAAGGATAAGGGTGACCACAAGAAGGATGAAAAGAAAGATCTGTTGTCATTTGATAAGATAAAGGTAAGCACATTGTGAGTGATAGATGTACATTTGTAATTGATTTTTTTAGGTCATCTGAGTCACTCAGGGGACCTATTGCTATCCGTTTTTGTCCGTCGGCGTGTGTCATGCGATGTGCGTTAACATTTGAACATTTTTAGCTTCTTCTCTGAAACCGCTCAACCAATTTCAACCAAATTTGGCATATAGCATCTATGGGTGAAGGGGAACAAATATTGTGAATGTCATTGTCCCTGCCCCCCTGGGGCCTGAGGGGTGGGGCTAAAACCACCAAAATTAATGCAATCTTTAAAAATCTTCTTCTTTACTCCTGGACATCAAGCAGTCAAACTGTTGGCATGATTGTAACAAGCATTGAGCCTTCTACCAAAATTGTGAAATTCATGGCCCCAGGGCCAGGGGTTCTGGTGCTAGGGCAGGGCTATATAGACCATGTAGTGAAAGTGCATTATTTCTTTGAAAATCTTCTTCTCTGCTCCTGGGTATTAAATAAAGTAACTAAGTACATAGTTATGATGAGCAAGAGTTCCTCTTCAAAAATTGTGAATTTCATTGCCCCAGGGTCAGGGGTTCAGGTGTTAGGGTGGGGCTCTATTGATTATATAGTGAAAATGCATTAATTCTTTGAAAATCTTCTTCTCTGCTCCTGGTTATTAAATAAACTAACTAAGTACATAGTTATGATGAGCAAAGGTACCTCTTCCAAAATTGTGAATTTCATGGCCCCAGGGTCAGGGGTTCAGGTGTTTGGGTGGGGCTCTATTGATTATATAGTGAAAATGCATTAATTCTTTGAAAATCTTCTTCTCTGCTCCTGGATATTAAATAAACTAAGTACATAGTTATGATGAGCAAGAGTGTCTCTTCCAAAATTGTTAATTTCATGGCCCCAGGATCAGGGTTTTCTGGTGTTAGGGTGGGGCTCTATTGATAATATAATGAAAATATATTAATTCATTGAAAATCTTCTCTGCTCCTGGGTATTAAATAAAGTATTGTAATGGCCATGGAGTAGAATTTAATTAATTAGTTTATTTTTTTTTATATGACTGAAATGTGTTATCATTTATTGGGATTATTATCAGGGTGGACTTCATTACGCATAAACTACACTGCTATCTGAATAATAACAGAACGTGGTATCGTCTATTTATAGCACATTTGACATATTTGTTGCATTCATTTATACAGGAAATCCTCCATCCTATGAATTGAAGTACATACCTTTAAAACCTTTCCATGTTACTGTATTTTTCAAAATTATATTTGAATTAAATACGTGCCTAACATTGCCACAAGTGCACACGATTGCAGGAGTCATGGAAGTTGTTTACATCCTGCCGACATCTTATTTGCGTTAGCCATAGTTTCGTATTTGAACAAGTTCTACTTTTTCATGCAATTCGATGTTATAATTGTTTGTGAATATCCACAAAATTGATGTTTGAAGATGTTTTACTAAGATTTATCAGCGGTTTTACTTTAAACGGGATTTAATAGTAGTTACACATTTTTATTATGTCAGAGCTATTTGAATATCGTCTGCTGTACGATTGCAGTTTTCTATCATGAAATATACGTTTAATTCACATGAAATGCTTACCGTAAGTTTTGGGGTATATGTCGATGGGGTATATAGGTCGAAAGGCTCATTTTCAGCCGTAATTTTTAAAAAATCCTTAGATAGGACGATTTGGAAGATAGGACGAGGCTTTGTTTATCGACTTTCTACAGATTCTTACGTAGAAACTACGTATCAGAACATGTAAAGGTCTTTAACTTAACCCGTGATATTAATATATGAAGAAAATAAACTGGTATTTTTATGAGCACAGCATTTTAATAGTGTTTTACACAAACATAGTTAAAACTTCCTTGAATTGTGATATAACGCATTTTCTCCAACTTCCCTGTTCAACGCCGTCGTTGTTTGACTCCGTCGTTAAACACATAAATACGGTAGTATACAACAGCTATAATTAGGGAAATACCCGAAATCAGACAATAATCATTTCCATTTTAGAACATCGTGGACACATTCTTTTATTCCGACATTATTTACCGGGGTACAATATTAAGTGCGATGACCGCCATTTTTATATTTCTTGTCCAGGGATTTGCTAAAACACGCAAATGACTATTACATGTAACAGTGAGCAATTGAAATTAATCATATTAACATGCTATAATTTTGCTTGAGATATTGTTGTAAAAAAATTAATTTAATTGAGAGTATATTCGCAATTTAACAGTCATCAGGAATTTCACAGTTTTGTTTGTTCAATGATGCATAGCACTAAAACCCCTGTAACGGCACGTGGATCTGTTAATCATGCCCCGCAGGTGTTTAAACCAACAGGTGTTAACACCTTTGTGTACACAGTGTATATCCCTCTATCTGACAGACAATTAAAATTCTATTAGAAGCCAATCTTTGTATAATTCGGTCTACCCCTTGGAATATAAAACAAAATAGTTATGACTAGCGGTATATTTGGTAAATAATTTTAGGAATTTACCGGCAACAGTTTATTTCACACATTTTACATTTAAATAAATATCACAAGACAATGAAAAAATATTTAGATATACTATTTCAATTAATCGTTACAAATAAATGGTAAAAAAAAAAAATTCAATTGCGATTGTGAAAACTCCTCCGTATTTTAAACTTTGATACGGTTGCGGTTTTATTTTTAGTAAACGATTGCGACTTCCAACTTCACAAGATGGACACAGCATGTTGTAAATATACTTTGAGACATTATTGATGATATAATAAGTTTTTTTTGTACATCGACGGATATTTAATGAAACTTATTTTGTAAGAAATCAATGGAATAAATATTTAATTGTTTATTTTTTTTCTCGGTAAAGTAATTTTAAAAAATACGAAAATGGCACAGATTTGCTTTAAAATTGACGTAAATTTTACTGATTTGGGGGCATTTTTCGTAAACTTGGGCCTTAGATAGGTCGATTCGTTAAATAGGACGACCCCAGCGGTTCTGAGAAAAAAAGTGTCGTCCTATCTTCCAAAACTTACGGTACTTACAGTTGATGAAAACATCCTCCAGATCCATATCATATTATTTATTATTGCAAATGTAAATATTAATTCCGTTTCGTAGCTGTAATCCACATTGTACGGCAGCCTTGTTTGACGTTGTTTGGCACTGTTTGACAGATCTCTGTTTGTACGGCGCCGTACAATGCTGTGATTGGTCGAGCGTCACCGTACAGCTTTTTCATTCGTTAATTTGTGTCACATGACTACTTCAGAAACTTATAAATATAAGCGCCTCGCCAGTTTATGGCAGATAAGTTGCAGCAGCAGCATCCAAATTCTAAATTCTAGGTGAGGAAAAACTGCCAATTATCTCCCAACACACTGGACACCTGATATTTGATATTTAGAGCTTTTAAATTCCAAATCAACTTTTCTACCCCTTTTACCCTTGAAAGTACGGTTGACGCCACAGACCATAACAAATATTACTTGATATATCTATATGTATCCAATATAGATTTTGTTTACCATACTATCCTTTCCTGTTGTAAGATGAATTAATAAACCAATATTTGAACTGATACCAAGCTTTGTCCTTACTGAGAATCATGAACCAAGAATATAGGAGTGACCTTGAGAAATGTTGTATAAGTACATTGTATGCCCCCCCCCCCCCCCCCATTTCAGGATGGCCATTCGTGGGGAGCTTACAGTATTTAAGAACATAGTTATGGTGAACATGGCTGCCTTTCAGAAATTAAGAATTTCATGGCCCCTGGGTCAGGGGTTCAGGTGTTAGGGCGGGACTCTATTGATTATATACTATTAGTAAAATTGCATTAATTCTTTGAAAATCTTCTTCTCTGCTCTTGGATTTTAAATAAACTAACTTAGTGCATAGTAATGATGAGCATGGTTGCCTCTTCCAAAATTGTGAATTTCATGGCCCCTGGGTCAGGGGTTCTGGTAAAAGGGGGGGGGGGGCTCTATTGATTATATAGTGAAAAAATATTTTTCTACTACTGGTTATAAAGCAAAGAAACAAGTGTATAGTTATGATGAGCAAGGGTGCTTATTCCAGAATTGTGAGCTTATGGCCAATGGGTCAAATGTTCTGGTGTAAGGAAGGGGCTTTATTTATTTAGTAATAAAGTGAAAATGCATTTCTTTAAAAATTTTCTATGCTTCTTGGCATACCGTAAGTTTTGGGGTATATGTCGATGGGATGTATAGGTTGAAAGGCTCATTTTCAGCCGTAATTTTTAAAAAATCCTTAGATAGGACGAATTTGGAAGATAGAACAAGGCTTTGTTTATCGATTTCTAGAGATTCTTACGTAGATACTACGTATCAGAACATGTAACCGTCTTAAACTTAACCTGTGATATTAACGTATTGAGAAAATAAACTAGTATTTTCACAGTTTTGTTTGTTCAATGATGTATAGCACTAAGACTCCTGTAATGGCACGTGGATCTGTTAATCATGCCCCGCAGGTGTTTTAACCAACACAGGTGTTAACACCTTTGTGTACACAGAGTATATCCCTTTATCTGTCAGACAATTAAAATTCTATTAGAAGCCAATCTTTGTATCATTCAGTGTACCCCTTGGATACGAGGAAGCTTTCAATTCTATCATTTTAAAAAAAAAAATATTTATTTTGTAATGATTTCCAAGTCAACCTCATAATATCAGTTGAAATTATATTTCTGTCACCCGCATTTATTACTCATTTGTTGCTTGTAAAACTCCATATCAATAAAATTTCATAAAATATCACAAGACAATGAAAAAATATTTAGGTATTGCGATTGTGAAAACTCTTCCGTATTTTAAATTTTGATACGGCTGCGGTTTTCTTTTTAGTAAACGATTGCGACTTCAAACTTCACAAAATGGACACAGCATGTTGTAAATATACTTTGAGACATTAATTACTAGATGATATACCGGTAATAAGTTTTTTTTGTACATCGACGGATATTTAATGGAACTTATTTTGTAAGAAATCAATGGAATAAATATTTAATTCTTTATTGTTTATTATTTTTTTCTCGGTAAAATAATTTTAAATAATAAGAAAATGGCACATTTTTGCTTTAAAATTGACGTAAATTTTACTGATTTGGGGGCATTTTTCGTAAACTTGAGCCTTAGATAGGTCGATTCATTAAATAGGATGACTACAGCGGTTTTGAGAAAAAAAGTATAGTCCTATCTTCCAAAACTTATGGTATTCGAGGCAAACAGAGAAGAGTTTTAACAGGCAAGGGTATTTTTACCAGAATTTTGAACACCTAGACAATTTAATCAAGTGTTCTGGTCCTGGCCAGTGCTCTATTAACTTGTATTCTGATGAACGAAGTTATTCCCCTTTGAAATTCCCCTTTGATAATAAATCACAGTAAATAATGTATTTGAATGCTTAATAGAATAAGAGAATTATGCACGAATATTTATTGTATAATACAAAATGTACTCTCATAGTTTTAATGATCAGATAGACTTGGAAATAATAGATGAATAAAATTGAGACAAAAAAATAACTTATCTTTTTTAATTGTTCTTCAAAGGCCAAAAGAGGCCAGTGTGAGAAGTAATAATGTGGGGTTGAAAAATAGACAGTTTGTTAATAGTCTGCATGGTAATAGTGATAAATGGGGGACAGATTAGATACTTAGACCAATTATTTTGTTAATGCAAATCCTACTATTTTTCTTGCTTTTGGGCAACAAAGCTACATTAATCAGTTTATGGATCCTCAAAATTGTTGTATTGTACTCAGGTGATTGTTAATGCCCTTGGGCCTCTTGTTTTTTTTTCATTTGGTTAACTTTTTCCACAATATTCTGTAGGAGGAAAGAGAAAGGGAGAGGCTACGTCAAAGAGAACGAAGAATTAGGGAAGAAGAAAGAAAGAGACGCTGGGAGATAGAGCAGGAGAAGAAACGACAGAGGGATGTCCACATGAAACAGAGGGCAGAAGCAATACGGCTCGCAAGGGAGAGGGAAAAACTCAGGTAAAATGTGTTTCATTGGATAATGAAAAGGAAATGTTAGACATAAAATCCATTGATGACATATATCATCAATCTAAGGTAAAACTTGAGGCCCTGCAGAAATTTATAAGCGATTACAATTTTCAAACTTCATGAATGTTGCATTTCTAATATCATTATGCCAATCACGCTGTTGTAGATGTAGGTGAATTGGGTCATAAAAGAAATGTGTATAAAATTGTTTGATTTTACCAGACGAGACAGGGACCAACTAGAGAAGGAGAAACTGGAGCTGCAGAGGCTTGAAAAGCTGAGACTTGAACAGTTAGAAAGAGACAGACTGGAGAGGGAGCGGGAGGACAAAAGGAGGCTAGAACAGCTTCGGTACACTATTTTATGCTTTAAAGAATTTAAACTTAGCTGAGGTTTTTAAGTTTTACTAGATGCTTTTCAAGCTGCCTGTAAATTAAAAGCTGTTATTTTCAGAAGTAAAAGTTAGTAATATGGTGGTGTACTGCACTTCTGTAATATTGTGAATGTGTTTATAGACTAGAGGCAGAGCAAATGAGAAGAATGGCTATGAAGAGACCCTATGAGTCTCGTGGGGGTCGTGAAGAGTTTTGGTCAGAAGCCAAGAGACCCGCTGTCTCTGATGCACGATTTACCTCCAACTCAACCTTTTCCTCTGATAGGTAAAAAATCCATTGAGTCCAAGCATGTACAGTGTATCATATACATGTATGATAATGCATCAATTAATGTTGATATAAGTTATGTTTGAATGTGTTCATTCTGTGTTTTAAAGCTGAAGGTACATGTATTTGTATTTTTATTACATGACTACATGTTGTTAATTGCATGCCGTTTTTCGTGGTGATGGTGATTTGTCTCCCCTACTTATCAGATTATATGATGATAGCAGAGACAATAGAATGTCTGATAGAAGTGAAACCACTGCCTTTGACAGGAAAGTGGAGCGCTATGATAGGCGTGAGGATAGGGTGACAGAAGTTAGGGAGAACCGCAGCGATAGGTCATTTGGTGAGAGGAGAGAACGTGACAACTTTAACAGAGACGGTCGTCAGGACAGAAGGAGTTCTGAGAGATTTGAACGGTAAGTTTTATAGGTACATGTACTTTATGTCATTTTTAGCTCACCTGAGCCGAAAGCGTTCAAATCATAAGAGGGAGGAGGGGCATAATGGGCTATCAAAGTATACAGGAAAAATCTTTAACTTTCTTCTCAATAATAGCATAGGCATGTTAAGTCATTTTAATGTGGAAGCATCCTCAGGTAGTGTATGTTCAAGTTTGTTCAAATCGTGACCACTGGGGATGGGGTGAGTCCACAATGGAAATCAAAGTTTTACATAAGAATATGTATGCATAAAAAACTATAAAAATCTTCTCAACAACAGCAAAGGCATGATTAATCATAGATATGGAAGCATCCAGATATGGAAGCATCCTAAGGTAGTGAAATTTAAAGTTTGTTCATGATCCCCAGGGATCGTGTCAGGCCACAATGGGTGATCAAAATATTACATAGAAGTACATGTAGAAAAAAATCTTTTTTTCCTCAAGAACAGCAAAGGCGTGATTAGAAGCATTCTCAATGTAAATAAAGTTTGTTTAAATCATGGCCCTTAGGGATAGGGTGGTGCCACAATAGATGATCTGAGTTTTACAAAGGAATATATAGGAAAAATCTTTAAAAAAAATCTTCTTCTCTAGAACAGCAAAGGCATGATTAGTCCTATTGATAAAGAAACAACACTCATCCTCAGGTGGTGAAAATCAAAGTTTCTTTCAAATCATGACCCCCAGGTGTAGGGTGTCACCACAGTATGTGATCAAAGTTTTACATAACAATATATGGGGGGGGTGGGTGGGGTGGGGGGATCTGCTGCTTAAGAACAGCAGGGCCATAGTGACTCAGTTGAGCATTGTGACCCATGGGTTTTTGTATTACTGTTTTACTAAATGTGTGTAGAAAATGTGATTTTTAAAACTGTACTTCATCAGTGAAAGAGACCGAAGCAATGTTCGAGGGGACAGAAGAGAAAATTTTCAGCGAGATAGATCAGATAGACGTGATGACAGGGACACTGACAGAAGGGGGGCTAGAACTCCACCTAGAGATAGCAGATCAGAGTGGAAGTCAGAGAGAGGTAAAAACACATTGAATACTTGGGAGGGGTCCATGAGATATTTTCAAATCATGTAAATATGCAGCATGTCAAATGAAACTTTTGCTTATGAATTGTGTTTCTTTTCAGAGAGACAAGGTGGGAGTGACACCAGGATGGTGGTCCGTGGTTTGAGTTCTAGTAGGGACAGCTGGCAGGGTGGGAGCAGCAGCTCTGGTATACAGGATGACAGGAGCCGATCTCGGGTGGGGATAACCCACAACCCAGGACCAGGTTTGCTTGGTAACACTGTCTATTAATGCATTTCGGTGAGAATAAGAAATAAAAGTTTTCAAGACAGGCTGAAATACACTAATGGCAGAGGTTTAAATCATTTGTTTTTCTGCTAAAAAGAAAACTGGATGAGATAACATGGAGTTGTTAATAATTTATAGGTAGTGCACCAGGTACACAGAGAAGTTGGGGAAGCAGCTCAGACAGGAGTAAGGTAGAGAGCAGCTGGTCTGCTTCCAGGCAGCAGATGGACAGCAGAAGCTCAGGGTCCCAGCAGCAGGACCGCTGGACAGGGGGAAGCCTGGGTCTCCAGGCTGATGCCAGACAGCAGACTTTTGGCACACAGATGGCTGGAGGGATACTAGCTGCCGGGGTACCTAACATGTTATTGACCTCTGTACCTCAGGCAACAGGAATGGTCCTGACCAACCCTTCCCTCACAAGAGGACAAGCTGAACCCAGATTTGATGCCTATAAGAGCATGCAGACTCAGTTCAGGAGATACTAAAGATTTTATTTGTTGGACTTTCTGTGCATGTAGATTTAAAGAACTTATGTGCATGCAAACTGAAAATCTTTCATAGTTGTTCTTTTAATTCATTGTACATTGATCATGTAAAGTAAAAATTATCTTCATTACCATTCATTCATCAATTTCCCATTTCATAATGATGATTTGAATAAAGAAAGCAATTAACTCCATTTTGTTGAGGTACACGTGTACAATTAAATGATACCAAGAAAGAAGCATAGATTTCATAGCAATGGGATGATGATTTAATGAAATTACACTATATTGTTTTGCATACTTTTACACATTTCAATTCCAATTATTGATTAGAAAATTTTGCAAAAGCTGGTCTTCTTCCAAAATGATTACTTATATCAAACTATCAAAAATTTGGACGTTTTCATTGACTGGAAACATTCCTTCTTCATGAATATATACAATGATGAGAGTATGTTTGATCTATTTACTGTCAAAAGATGGGCTGAGCTTATGCTCCACCCTTCATGTCATCCCAGGTGAAATATTTTGGGTCAGATTCACCTCTTAGAAAAACTTGCATGATGTGTCCTAATGTCAGACTGTATACACCTGCCCTGACTGAACGGTTCACACTTTAGAAACTTTGGCCATTTGATTCTAGTACCAATCTGCAGCTCAAAGCATTCATTCATTTTATCTTAATAGGTTGGATATGGTGAAAGTTCAATTGAGATTTTCTGATTGAAGTTTTGCTGTTGTCTATAGTCTAATAAACTGTTTAATGGAAACTGCGGTACTGCTCTTTTGCAGGGCAAAATGATATAGTTTGGTGAAATATGATGTAAAAGTAATTGTTGAATGTACTTCATTTGTTTATCTCTCGGCAAAAACTTCACCAAATGTTATTTGCCCTGCAAAAGAGTAGTACCGCATTTACCATGAAAGGGCTAATTGTGACATTAACTTTGTACAATGATTAAACTGCAAATAGAGTCAAGAAATTGATATTCTTTGAAAAGACATATTTGGTGTTAAAACTCTCAGCAAATACAAATTTTGATATAACAAATATAAGTTTCATAAAGTATTTTCTTCAGTAATAAGCGAAAACCAAGTTTTCAAATCACTGGCCCGAACTTGTTTTTACTTCACAATAAAGCTGTATGTCAATAGACGAATTAAACTGGTATGAGTTAACAATTTACCGAAGCCATCCCAAATCAAAATGGCGGAGATGGATAGCAAAATATTTTACACGACTGTTTAGCTTGCATTGCGTAGTCATCAAATTTATTTATGTATAAATTTTTTTATTAACAAAACTTTAAATTGTTATAGCAGTATATGAAAAGTGTCATTTCGTTGCTGAGAGGAAATTACGCTGTTGAGTGTTTTTGAAACCGTAATTTACCATTCGCCATCTTGCTTGGTAAGTGTCCATCCTGATTTGGAATAAGCAATCTGCATGGTTAGCCCGTTGTTGGAAATTTTAAAAATCAATGCAAGAAACTCAAAATCTCAACAGAAGTCATTCCTCAATTAGATAAAAAATGAAATTCTGTGAAATTTTGGATTTAATACGGAACAAAATTCAGAGCTCCAGATAATTTTTTAGACCAAAGTGTATTTACTGGACCTGATTTTTAAATCAATGCAGATTTTGATATTCAGCAGAATGATTTAAGAGCATTTTGTTTATATAATATGTTCACAGGTACTTGGGTTTTGGTTTACAAAAATGTACCTTATTGATATGTAAAATTTAGTAAAGGTATGCCAACAATATTTTCGCTAAACCTGAGAAACTTTTTTTTTTGACAAGGAAGATCATACTGTAGGTAAAGTAACCTTAGGCACATTTTATTCTCCATTTATGATGATATCATAGCAAGAGTAATCTGAGAAAAAAAAAATGGCGAGAGAAATCAGAAATTGTCAATGAACCCATCATAAAAAAACATTATTGATGGTTTTTGGCCACAAAATGAAAGTAATGCAAAAAGTAGGTAAAATAGCTACTTTGGATAGGATTAAATACCTAGGTAGCTATTAATAGCTACATAGGTAGAAATAGTCTTTGGACTGGACCTGTTGAAGAAGCTGCAGAACTGTAGTTAGAATAACCTGTGTCTAGGGACAGGTGAGGTGGGGACAGACCCTCACCACAGTTAGAATGCCTCCCATTTACTGCAATGTAGCAGAAAATTGCAGAATCACCCCAAAACAAGAAATTAATGTAGTTTCTTCATAGGAGTCGACAATTTTATCCATGAGACAACATAAACCATTCAGTGAGCTTTGCGAGGTTGTTGTTTACAATTGCCTTATGGATAAACTGCAAACTCCTGTGGTTGCATTGAAAATAACCATCATATTAATTATAACAAACCTTTTGGTGATTCTGGATACCTTCCACTCCAAAACTTAATTCATATAATCGAAGAATTTGACACTTTTTTTTTTTTTGACGTTTTTTGCTTCAAATTTACATGCCATGTTGACATTTGTTCTCAGTTTGATACATGATGCAAAATCTCCATTGTTGGTTCAGTCCTTTTTTTGGTTGCGATCTTAAGCATTCATTCAGGTTTGGCATAAGTAAAAACACGCTACTCAGCATAATTTAACTTTAAAAGGTTAATTTTTGAGGACTGATAGTTTGTAAAATAATTTTAACAGTTAATTTATTCTTATCAATTTCTCTGTGTCAATTTCCATGTAGATTAAGTGACTGGATTTAGTAGAAACAAAACATAAAACAATGTTGAATTTGTTTCCTTTTATCAGAATATCTTATCGAAAATAACCATACCAAGACAAAATTATACAATACTTATCATATCATGAAGGAGGTGTATCGTTTCACCCCTATCATTTGTGTTTGTTTTGCTACATTGCCAATACATGGAACACATTCTAATTTCCATAGGACATTATCATTTTAACAATTTGTACTTTCTGTCTAGTAGAACTGTAGCTCTCTGGTTGAGAAAATTTGGACAGACAACCAGTGAGCTACAGATTCAAACATTGTAAAAATCTTTGATTTTCGCTGCCACTTTTTTGACACTCCCTTTCAGTTGTGTTCAAAAGTTTTCATGTATGGTGCAGACATCTTTATATGATGAGCAATTTCTATCGTGATGATAATGTTGATGTCATCCTTTTCCTTCTACATGTACAACAATGAATAACTATAAAAAATTGTCAGACACAAAGATATAATGATTTGAAAAATTCCTCTTCTTCTAAATTTTAATTCAAATTCTAACAGATCTTTTGGTATTAAGTTTTCTGAATTTGATTTCTCCCATAGTGAAATCACTCTATTCGCAGTTTAATCATATCTGCCTAAACATTGCATACTGTAGATTCCTAAATATATGTGAAGAATTAATTATCGTGTAATTATGCGAGAAGCACCACTCGCAAATAAAATTACTTTCTTTATTTTTATGGTGCTGAAATCAATGTAAAATCCCTTGATCAACCGTCCACTCGCGAATTATTGTTCTCACGATTTGAAGTGAAAGAGCCATTTCGCGGTAATAAGTACTCGCAAACAATAATGAATCTACAGTATGCAGGTCCAGGAATTTTTAAGGAGAGTTCCATTCTACTCAAGAAATCTGTCCCAGAAATTTTTTGGACAAGCAAAAAAATAAAAAATCATAAACAACTTCTTAAAACATGAAAACCTATTTTAGGGGTGGGTTGGGGTTGTAGTGCTGTATAAAAATAAAAAATTAAATATGAATTGAATTAAAATAGTATACTTGTATACATGTTATTGTAGTATTTTTTATACAGTGTTGGATCTTAGTCAATTAGAAAGCTAGGAATTTTTCAGTCGTATAATAAAACTGATTATGATTTTTGTATTGTTAGATCTCAGCCAATCAGAGAGCTATGAATTACACAATCATCAGTTATGCTAACATGGCAAAACAAACTTATGTTTCTATAAAAAAAAAATTATTTTGAGAGTCATACAGACCAAAACTTCAACTGAATTTATCTTCTTTTGAGCAGAAAAAATAAAAATGGACAAAGCAGAAGACCTCCTACTTCTTGATGTAATTGAGGTAATGTACAGACTTTTCTCTTTTGATTCTATCACTGCTTAAATACTGTATAGATTAATATAAGAATCAGTTGTAATGGTTATATCACAACTTTACTTGGAAAACACAACTTAAGTTAGATATATTGTAAAAAATGGTTGTAAATTATGTTTGATGGTATGACAGGGCGAGCCCAGTTGCATTTAATACTACAGTATAGTATACTCTTTTAACTTGGATCTTCAGCTTTATACTGCAGGTGAAAGGTTTGACACACTTAATCTATTTTGTCTAGACGCTGACATCACATTAGTTCTCAATTTGTCATTTGGTGTATGTATTTTAAAAACAAGAGTCCAAGAAGTGCAAATTCTTAATGAAGTGCTTTATATGTTCTTTAATAAAAGATGTAATTATCATTGTTCCTTTGAGCTCTCTGCAAGAACTATCTATGTCACCTTTATGCAAAGGAATTGTGTTAGCTAGATGAAAAAATCTTGAAATTTGCACACAAAAATATAATTGATCAGGCTCAAGTGAGGCATTTTGATCAAAGAGTGTCTGGCATCCGCCTGTCGTCCATAGTCTGTAAACTTTTCACATTTTCAACTCCTTCTCAAGAACCATTGGGCCAATTTCAACTAACTTGTAACAAAGCATCCTTTGGTGAAGGGGATTCAAGTTTGTTCACAAAAAGTGCCACACCCTCTTTCAAGGGGAGATAATTAAGAATTCGTGAAAATTTGGTGGCATCTTTTAAAAATCTTCTTCTCAAGAACCATAGAGAAAGAAAACATGAAACTTATGTGAAACCTTCATTACATACTCTAGATTCAAGTTTGTTCATGTCATAACTCACAGGGGAAGGGCGGGGCCACAAGAGGGGGTCAAAGTTTTTACACAGGAATATATAGTAAGTTGTTATGGTTAAGGGCCATTTGAGTAAAATGCATTGAAGACTTCAAATAGTGGAATGACCTGAAAACCTTTGGAATGGACTAGCCAAAGGGTATATAAGGCAAAGCTTTGGGAAAGTCAGGCATTCAGAAGCTAGCTGAAGAAGTTGGATGATGAATCAGCAATAAAGTCATTAAGGATTTAATAAAACAATCCTAGAATCTCATTCAATTTTTTTGAAAAATCAAGGCGGGTGGGTGGATTTTACTTTTTATATTTCTTCCATTATACAAATTTTTTGTTGATCTGATCAATCAATTTATCTATTATGTCTGAATAAAAATCATAGTTAGTGGTCCATTAAATATGTATATCTCTTACTACACCTCATCCATCTTTTACCACCATTGATCCTTGTTTATATATGATACATATTACTGCAATAACCATCTTGTCAGCGGAGAAAATCATGCTAACATTCGCGGAATATAAAAGGAAAGTTGAATACCGATCCTGATCAGAATTAAGATGAAGGAAAACAGAAATAAAAAAAATTGAGGTGAGGTAAAAAAAATCAGGGCGGGCGGGGATGCAAATCTAGGATTTTTTTTTTTATTATGGCCTAAGGTATTCCATCCCTAATACAGTAAAACTCATTTAGTATGAATATGGATATAGGTAATTCATGGATATAGCGAATTTTTCTTGGATCCCCAGCTATATAAATTTAACAAATTTCTTCTACGGATATAACGAATAACAGATATAACGAAGTAATTTCACAGGTCCCAGTGACTTCGTTACTGTACATGTAGCAAAAGATTCAATGAAATTGAATACATAACAGATGTGTAAGTGTTGAATACTCAGTATTTTAGACATAATTCCCATTCATTACTTTAAGCATGTAAGCAGGGTGAGATGTGTCCTAATTTATGACCTTAAATTTGGTAAGAGATATCTCACTCTGTTTTAAATTGATTAAAAAAAAAATCAATTTTAAAAAAACTTATCTGGTAAAAAAAAAAAAATAATCAGTTTTCAATTGTCATTCTATTTCTAATATGTGTTTTAATGCATCTTTTCACTACAGTATTTATTGATATTCTTATTATTTGAATTTTTATTTTTAAAAAAATGCTTGTCTCCATTGACTTTAATGCAATCTTTGTTAATTAATTACTGCTTAGTTATTTACATTTTTGAAACTTTCTCTTGGTAAATCCTTTTCTACTGTAAAATGCTTTGAATATATATCAGAGTATTACGTATGTGATGGACATTTAAGGATAGAGGATGGAAAATCTTAAGGGTAAGATCAAAATAAAAGTTATAAACGTATCCTAGGTATTTGTTGTTAAGTTCTGGGTGTAGTAAATCTCAAGAAGATTGAGACACCTGGTTCTTATCTAACAATGGGAACCCAGGGGAGAAACATCGTGTAAGTTGTACCTTACCCAGCCCCCATCTCTAGATAAGAGAAAATTTAAGTACTGCGTGATGTAACCTCAGACAGAGCTGTTTTAATAATCATTCCAATCATTAACTCAGACAGAGTAAAAGGAAAACCTATATATATATATCTTGTAAGAATCTGATCATACATGTTACATAGGAAATATCTTTAAAATCTTCTTAAGAACAACTAAGCCATTAAAGCCCATTATTAGTCATATTTATACAGAAGCAACCTTAGGTATTGTAGAATCAAATTTGTTCAAATTATGACCACCCAGGGGTTGGGGGGCACAACAGAGGGTCATCATTTTATATAAGAATATATAGGTATTATCTGGAAAAAATCTTTTGCTTCAGAACATCAAAGTCATGTTTAGTCATATTATTATAGAGCCATCCTCAGGTAGTGTAGATTCAAGTTTGTTCAAATTTAGGATGGGTAGGGAGGGGCCACAATGAGCTATCAGAGTTTTACATAGGAATACATAGGGAAAAATCTTTAAGATTCTTCCTTTTAAGAACAGCAAAGTCATGATTAGTATTATTGATATGGAAGCATCCTGAGGTAGTGTAAATTTAAGTTCCCCCCCACCCCACCTCCTTCAATACTGTACTCATTTCTGCTCTCCCAGCCAATGTGCTCAGGTGAGCGATGTGGCCCATGGGCCCTTTGTTAATTAGTATTCTCGGGATGACTCTTTCTAATGGGCTTGGAGGTATTAAAATGTTCATATATTGTCAGATGGACGATGAGGAGAGTTACCGTGATTTAATTGGAACAGAGGATGGAATGGAGAGTGACCTGATCGAGACAGAAGACGGGACTGAGAGTGAGCTGATAGAGGAAGATAGTGACGGTAGGATGATACATAGATTTACAGGAAAGTTACTTTGTATGAAGATAGTGACGGTAGGATGATAAATAGATTAACAGGAAAGTTACTCTGTATGAAGATAGCACTATATGGTAGGATGATGGATAGATTTACAGGGAAGTTACTCTGTATGAAGATAGTACTAGATGGTAGGATGATACATAGATTTACAGGAAAGTTACTCTGTATGAAGATAGCACTATATGGTAGGATGATAGATAGATTTACAGGAAAGTTACTCTGTATGAAGTTACTACTAGGTGGTAGGACGATACAAAGATTTTAGAGGAAAGTTACTCTGTATGAAGATAGTACTAGATGGTTGGATGATACATAGATTTACAGGAAAGTTACTCTGTATGAAGATAGTACTAGATGGTTATATGATACATAGATTTACAGGAAAGTTACTCTGTATGAAGATAGTACTAGATGGTTGGATGATACATAGATTTACAGGAAAGTTACTCTGTATGAAGATAGTACTAGATGGTAGGATGATATATAGATTTACAGGAAAGTTACTCTGTATGAAGATAGTGATGGTAGGATGATACATAGATTTACAGGAAAGTTACTCTGTTTGAAGATAGTACTAGGTGGTAGGATGATATATAGATTTACAGGAAAGTTACTCTGTAACTATGAAGATAGTACTAGATGGTAGGCTGGTATAAGATTTACAGGAAAGTTACTCTGTATGAAGATAGTACTAGATGGTAGGACAATACAAAGATTTTAGAGGAAAGTTACTCTGTATGAAGATAGCACTAGATGGTAGGATGATACATAGATTTACAGGAAAGTTACTCTGTATGAAGATAGTACTAGATGGTAGGCTGGAATAAAATTTACTGTGTATATGGTAGGCTGGTATAAGATGTACAGATAATTTACTGTGTATATGGTAGGCTGTTATAAGATGTACAGATAATTTACTGTGTATATGGTAGGCTGGTATAAGATGTACAGATAATTTACTGTGTATATGGTAGGCTGGTATAAGATTTACAGGAAATTTACTGTATATGAAGATAGTACTAAATGTAAGGATGATGCATAGAGTTTTTAGGAAAGTTACTCTGTTTGAAGATAGTACTTGATGTAGGCTGGTATAAGATTTACAGGAAAGTTACTCTGTATGAAGATAGTACTAGATGGTAGGATGATACATAGATTTACAGGAAAGTTACTCTGTATGAAGATAGTTATGGTAGGATGATACATAGATTTACAGGAAAGTTACTCTGTATGAAGATAGTACTAGATGTAAGGATGATACATAGATTTACAGGAAAGTTACTCTGTATGAAGCTAGTACTAGATGTAAGGATGATACATAGATTTACAGGAAAGTTACTTTGTATGAAGATAGTACTAGATGTAAGGATGATACATAGATTTACAGGAAAGTTACTCTGTATGAAGCTAGTACTAGATGTAAGGATGATACATAGATTTACAGGAAAGTTACTCTGTATGAAGCTAGTACTAGATGTAAGGATGATACATAGATTTACAGGAAAGTTACTCTGTATAAAGATACTACTATATGGTAGGCGGGTACAAGATTTACAAGAAAGTTACTCTGTATGAAGTTATTAAAAATAGTCTAACATAAAAGGTTTACAGAAAAAAACCTCTCTATAAGGATAATAATGGTTGGCTGAAAGTAAATTTTACAGCAAAATAACTGTATAAAGATAATAGAAAGGGTAAGCTGGAAGTCACAATGCCTTTGGTCAAATTTTCAGCACAGTAGAAGTGTAGAAAAGAAAAAGTCATATATAACTGTTTTGGAAAAGAGAATGCAATTGTGTTTGTTAGTATTTCATTTTATATTTGAAATTTATTTTGGGAAAAAAATCTGTACACTGAAATTATGACATCAAATTCTTCAGTGAAGTCTCAAAAGTGGTAGTACCACAAGGTAATAAGAACACATTTTGTTTAAAGAAATTTTACTGTTATGTTTTTGACAAAGATTTTTAAAAGATAGTAAATGTTAGCATGAAACATATCAAAAAGAGAGTTTATAAATATTGAGTCATTAGCTTTCAAAAACTAAAATGGACTGTTGAAAAAAAACACAAACTTTGGACTTCCAGTGAGGAGAGAAAAGTATGGAATTTTCAAGTGAAGACAAATTAAACCATGACTAGACTGCCATTGTTCAGGATTTTGTCAACAATTTTACAAAGATCACCAGAGGATGACTAAGTGCTAGACGATGGATCATATTGACTGTAATTCATAAGGAAGTAAAAATTACATCATATAATGATATAGAAAGACAAAGAATCTAAAAATCAAGTATATCAAGCTGTAACTCGCATTTGAACCTTGGCATTCTGAGAATGAGAGCCTGATGGCACTGATGAGGACTGTGTGTATACTGGACTGGAATGACATCCTTAGTGGGCCACATCTACGTATTCAGTTATTATGACACAGACAATAAAAGAAGGGAGGAAAACTAGCAGGTAACATAGGAGACTCTATTTCTTCAGAAAATCACCATGACTCATAGAAAAAGAAGATACAAACAGTTCATTTCTCACTGCTGGTTGAAGAGTATTTCATGTATGGAGTACACAAGATGCAAAGAAAACTACTGCCAAATCTGAATTATTGTGACTATGAAATTATGGAAACACTTGGGATTCATTTTTGAGGATGGATTTATCATGAAATAATTTCAAGGACAAAGAACTTAAAGATTTACAGTAAATTATGGTATAAACTAGATGGTGTAAATTTGCATTTTCAAGTTCTTTTCTTGAAGAATGATCCATAAAGATGACAAAACCCTTAAAATTAAATAAAGTGTGAATTTGACAGTTTGAATACATCATCATTTATGTTGCCAAAAGAAGACAGGAGAAAATCAGTGTTCAATCCTTTTGATGATAATTACGATAATACATGTCAGACTTACATACCAGTTTGGATGCAGTTATAAAACTTTGTTGTCAACTTGACAAAGAAAATGAGGAAAGTGATAAAAGATGGAAATACCAGACACATCAAGTAATGGTCTTCCAGCATGAAACAGGACATTCAGTTGTGAACCAGAAACCATCACTCTCATTGAACAAGGATTATATTAATGGAGTGGATAACACAATTGCTTGAAGAATTAAAGACAGCAAACAATTTCTTTTTATAAATGATGGGTAGTGGTGTAGATGGAGAGAGAGATTCACAAAATACATGATAATATATGAATACAGTTTGGTTTATTCCAAATATTAACACTGTTCATTTCCACCAATGAGCAGTTCAGCCTGGAACTTGAAAGATTTGATAAAAAAATAACTTAATACTACAAGCCTTCAATAGCATTCAACTGTATCGACCCCAAACCAAGAGTATCCAAATTGATAAAGGAAGAGAGGTTTCAGAGGAAAACACAAAGACCAAAAATTGATCTGTTTAATTCAATATGGAGTAATAAATTATAAAATCTGAACTTTTGTACATGTTTCTTACAGCTATTGTTTCTTCATATATCTTTCTTCTGACTGTCCTTCCTTCTTTTTTCTTCAGTACAAAAGTTTCATTGGCTCAAGCTCATGGAACGTAAATAAGAATTTAAGGGGTGAAATAAATTGAATATTACATTAATGCTACTTCTGTTTTGGACAACAGTGACTCAGGAATCACGAGACGATGTCAGTGAATCTTTGGATGTATATGTGGATGATACACAGAATGACCTTGATGCAGATATAAAGGACAGCAAGAAAACTGTTAGTAGTAGCACTGAAAGCAGTAAGTCCAGCCACAGAGAGGAGAAGTCCAAACAAAAGTCCAGCAACTCAAGTGGGCAGAAGTCCAGCAACTCAAGTGGGCAGAAATCCAGCAACACAACTGGGCAGAAGTCCAGCACTACCAGTGAGGAAAAGTCTAGCAGCTTCAGTGGACAAAATTCTGGCAGTGTTGGTGGGCAAAAATCCAGGGATAGAATTAGCAGCTCCAGTAGAATAAAATCAGAAATCACTAGTATTCACAAAACTAACAGCAGACGAGAGTGTGGAAGTGGTGACCAAAAGGCTGGAGGTGGTAGTAGGCAGAGATCCAGAATACATGGGCAGAAAACAAATGGTAGCAAAATACAGAAGCCAAACAATAGTGGGCAGAAGTCTAGCACTAGTGGGGAGAAGTCTAGCAGTAGTGGACAGAAGTCTAGCAGTAGTGGGCAGAAGTCTAGCAGTAGTGGACAGAAGTCTAGCAGTAGTGGACAGAAGTCCAGTGGTAGTGACAGCAGGCAGAAATCTAGCAGTGGTAGCAGTATGCAAAAGTCTGGTAGTAGTAACACATCTGGAACTGGCAGTACACAGAAGCTTGGCAATAGTGGGCAGGCATCTAATAGTGGAAGCAGCAGACAGAAGTCTAGCAGTGGGCAGAAGTCTAACAGTGGGCAGAAGTCTAGCAGTGGGCAGAAGTCTAGCAGTGGGCAGAAACAGAGTAGCAGTCGTCAAAAAGATGAGAAAGAAGGGAAGACAGACAACAGAGTTTCCAGTAAAAGGTTGGGTTTGTCAAGATCAGTTTAGATTTCTCAATGTATGTATGGTTAATTGTAGTATTCCTTTTCATATGCATTTGATTTATGTTTCTTAATACTGCTTTTGTCCTCAAATCTATGTCAGTGAAATGCACCTGCATGTCCTAATTAAGATGATTTGATTTCATTTTAATAATTCATAAAAATAATAATGCTAAGAAAAATTTGCTATATAAAATATAAGATAGTAGATAAAATGTTAGGTTGTATTCTGAATTTCTAGTTTTAACTGACATGAATGCAGAATAGTGGGAAGTCACATTTAAGTAGTTTTTACCAAGTGACAAAGGAAAAAGATTCATTAATTCATAGCTTAGAGATGTGACATCTCCTTATGAACCCATTGGCTATGACAGTGGAGTAGGTACAAATTCTGGACCGATATAGACCTGTCATAAAAAATCAATACCTGGAAGAGAGAGCCTAGAACTTGGATTGTCTAAATGTGATGTGGTACAACAAAGATCAAAGTGAAAATCAAGTACAAGGAATCTTCAGTAACCTTTTAGATTCCAGTGACAAGGATCAAACCATTGGCAAGAAGCAAAGACTCAAGAGTGTAGGTTTGTTGTTAAGTGCAAGAAAGATTGTCAAGAATAAGAGTTGCAGGAAAAGGAATGTTTATGTGGCAATGATTCCAATACAGGAAAAGGCAGCTTTACTGGGCAGTGATTCACATACAGAAAAAAGGCAGGCTTACTGTGCGATGATCCACATTCAGGAAAAGGCAGGTTTATTGGGCGATGGTTCACATACAGGAAAAGGCAGGTCTTCTGGGCGATGATTCACATGCAGAAAAGGGCAGGTTTACTGGGCGATGGTTCACATACAGGAAAAGGCAGGTTTACTGGGCAATGATTCACTTACAGGAAAAGGCAGGTCTACTGGGTGATGATTCACATGCAGAAAAGGGCAGGTTTACTTGGCGATGATTCATGTGCAGGAAAGGGCAGGTTTACTGGGCGATGATTCACATGTAGGAAAGGGCAGGTTCACTGGGTGATGATTCACATACAGGAAAAGGCAAGTTGGTGTGATTTGTGATGTTCTTATTCCAGTTAAATTCAAGAGACAAATTTAGAAATGAGAAGCTACAATCATAATGTGTTTTTTGCTTCCAGTCATCTAGATAGTAGTTACATATCTTTTTTTTTTTACATTTGTTGTGGCAATAGGACAAATAAGACTCTGTCTGTAGGAGTTAAATTCTTTCCAAGCCATGAGGCTTATAGAGCTAGTGTGGAAACCTGGTTCCTATGGTTTTAAGAGGCTGAGAATCATTGACTCCCTATGGATAGCATACAAGTCAATCCAAGTTTGTAACTCCAAGCGTAAGTTGGTATCCATTTTCAGCTGGTTGAATAAAGACAATGCAGAGAAAGTGTGTCATCCAGGGACACAACACAAACACCCAACACCACAGAGGGATTTGAACCAGGGACCTTTCGGTTACTGGCCAAATACTTAAGACCACTGAATCATTTGTTCCACATCTCAAGAAGATACTACATTAGAAAAACTGATATAATGAGAAATCATTCAAATTCTGTATATGAAACTTGATGCAATTTCAGGTCAGTTTAGTCTTATGATGTGTACAAAATCCCCAGACAGCCATAAACAGCAAGATGCTTTAGTTGATTTGTAAACAAATTATATAGAAAGTGATTATCTTCATATACTATGATACAGAAGTGAGCTTTCTCCATTACTTAAGAGGTAAAGATGATAATTGCCTATTAATATCTGATGTAGAGGTGACCTTATTTATTCTGTGCTGAAGAGACCACTATTATTCACCTGCGTACATTATGAAGTGTACATCTTGTAGCTATGATGTAGAGATGATTCTTTTTTTCATCAGTGTATGGTATGAAGCAATCCTTATAATAAGCCCTTAATGAAGAGATTATCCTTATTCACTGACCTATGATGTAGAGGTGATCCTTAATCACTAGCAGATAATGTAAAAAGGATCCATATTCACCAGCCTATGATGAAGAGATGATCCTCAGCAACCAACCTATGATGTGTGGAAGTGATCTTTATCAACCTGACTATGAAGTGGAAATGATCTTTAATCACCAGCTCATAATGTGGAGATGATCCTTACTACAATGATGTAGAGATGATCCTTACTACGATGATGTAGAGAAGATCCTTACTACAATGATGTAGAGATGATCCTTATTAACCAGCCTATGATACTGAGGTTGTCCATCTCTACCAGCCTATGATGTGGAAGTGATCTTTAATCACCAGACTATATTGTAGAGATGATCCAGACTTAACAACAACAACCTATGATATAGAAGTGGTCCTTATCAACCAGTCTGTGATGTGGAAGTGATCCTTAATCATCAATCTATGATATAGATATGATCCTTATAAACTGGCCAATGATGTGGTGATGATCCTTGATAACTATCCTGTGATGTAAAGCTAATCCTTCATCACTGTTTGACATGGAAGTAATCCTTATCAATGAGCCTACGGTGAACAGCTAAGTGTATGATGTAGGAGTGGCCATGTTATTGGTCTCTTATACAAAAGTGATCCTGATTCACCAGCCTATGATTTCAGTGATTTGTATTCCCCATCTAAAATACAGAGATAATTATTATTCTTTATTCTGTTATTTAGAGATAATCCCTTTTGCCATTTCTTTTCTATTCCCACCACCATATGATATAGAGGGGATCCAGCCTATGTTATTGATATATTATTGATCTTTGATCAGTGTTGAGGAAACTTGATCAGTGTTATGGACACAATGCAAAACTGAGCTCTCAGATGATTTTGGAATTGTATATCTCAACGTAAAATTCCAATGAAGCATTTTAGCTGAAATTTGAAACATTTTCATCATGCTGGTTTTTTTTGCCTGCAGTTAAAAATAGAGAGGGGAAAATCACAGCATTGATATTTTTAGTTGAACATAGCAGTGTTGGAGGAGCATGCTTAAAGCTTTGTAATCTTCTGCAAGGAGAATTATAGATGGAACCCATTTTTAAGAGTAATTGTGACTTTGCTCAGTTATTGACTACTGGGGAAAAAAAAACAAGAACGTCCTCTTTAGTTTCTCGAGGCTACAGAACATTAAGGATGTTTTTCTTCATTCTAGTAGATTTGCCAAGAAGAAACAATTTTAACAAGTTTCCTTATGTGGTCAGTGAAAACTCTTATACAAAGAATTTATCAAGTTGGAGAAGATTGGCCCATTTTGTTATTGTTAGGTAAAATTTGACAGATTTGAATTTTGGCATATTGATGGTAAATCCTATAGAGATATAGAAAAGCCCTTTATAGATGTAATACAAACATAATATTCAAGCCGTCATGGCTGGTTATTGTGGATTGATGTAGGTGACACTCTGGAGAGTTAAGCAGTGATTGAACAGTCCAGGCCTCTAATTACCTTCAGAAGTTAACCTTAAAGCTGATGAAAAGATAGATTCTTTACATAATCTGAAACGAAAGGAGAATGACTCCAGGTGAAAGATCCTTTGGAAGCTCGCAACATATGGAAAGAACATGTAATAAGATCCTCTTGTCAATAAACCACATTATGCTGCAGGTGATGAAAATTTGATTCAGACTATAACTTGCCTCTTGAAGTTGAGATATATTCCAACAGATCAATTAGAAACTTATTTTATTGAATATATCTTACAGCAGGACATTAAATGAGTAACATGTTTGTTGGCAGTTAAATAATCTGTTGCTATCCATATTTTTCAGTTCCACATCAAAGGATTCAAAGAAGGCTGTTCCGGGTAATGATTTTATTTAATATATCAACAACTGACATTTTTAAGAAATTTAAAAAAATAGATCATATTGTGCAGAAATTTTATCCTTTTAAAAAAGACATTTTTATATATTGACTCCACCCAGATAAATTATATTTATTTTCATTTTTCCCATAGCTCCATCATGTAATCTATGGGTCAGTGGAATTACTTCATCTACCAGGGCCAATGATCTAAAAGCACTATTCAGCAAACATGTTAAGGTATGTCTTATTTTCTTGATTTTTTTTTTTTATCAAAGAAAATATTTTTCTTAATCTTTTTTTTAGTTGAATGATAAAATTTTACATCTACTGTGACAATAACACTAGGGTAAGTCAGGGTAATTTCGACCACCGTTTAATTTCGACCACAGGAACTCAAAACCACACAAAGATCTACGGAAGTGTTGAGACAAGTTTAATTTATTCGGAATTATAGAAACTATTCCTCAAATTATGTGTCGTAGTATAATTATTCATCGCAAATATGGCTTGATCAGAGATATAAATAATATTTTAACTGTCATTTATGTCTCCAGTTTGACGTTCAAAGTCCCAGTCTTCAGTGCGCTTGATTTGATCAGGGAAATGCAAGAGAGACAACTCGTACAACCTCTTTTTAAGTTTAACTTTGTTCAACAGTCTACAGCACGAGTTAAATTAAAATTGTTTTATTTCTTCTTGGAATATCTTTAAGTTGCAGAATTTTACAAATTTATCTTGGATTTCTCTCAAAATGCACAAGAAACGTCCATTTGATTTTGGTCGAAATTACCCCTACTGATTTTAAGGACGCGGGGTAAATTCGACCACTTATTCTGAAATAAACGTGTAAGTTGTCTTCAACAGCTGTTTAATGCAATGCAGAGTTAGATCTTAAAAAAATAATTATACTATATATGTACAATATTATCTACACATAACCTTTTATATTAAAAAAAATATATCAGATTATTTAATTAACATGTGCATGCCTAGCTATATATATTGTCTGGGCCGTTCACGAGGTTCTTACTTGTAGTCCTGAGTATTCACGAGGGTGCATCACTGATCGAGGTGCGAGAGAACATGGAGTCGGCACTGGCTTTGAATTAATACATGACGAGAGCAATCCTAAAGATTCCAAACCCATCAAATTAACAAAAGAGAGGGTGCAGGCAATATTAAATATAGGTCCCTAACAAAAAAAAAAAAAAAATCAGGTTTTTGTAAATTTTTTCATTATTACGAATGCGTAAACTTTGACGAATAAGACTGAGGCTATCGAAAACCAACGACTCAGGTGTATTAAGATCGTATCACACAATCCAGGTAAAAAAATCCAAATAGTACCCAAAATATCAGAACAACACACCAAAAGAGCCGCAACAATCTTGAAACAAAAAAAAAAAAAAACTATGATGTTACACGAAATACTGAAATGATTTGTTTGAGTTTAGGTTTTTTTTTTTTTTTGTGGGGGGGGGGGGGGGGGGGGGGAAGAGGACTTTGCTTCTGTAAATCTTTATTTAATTGACTTATCGAATTTCTCGGGATCTATATCTCTTAAGAATTAACAAAACACGTAAAATACGTATATTACATGTAACAACGCATTCCAAATGAATGTGTATATGGTAAAAATTAGTGAAGAAAAATATACGCAATTCTAATGCTATGCTCAAACCTTATACATAGATATACAATCTGAATGATTCTGTTGTGAAAAGACGATATTAAATAAAATTCCTTTTGGGTTGGAGAATTTAAAAATCATAACAAAGAAATTATTTGTGGGATCTGAGAAAATTTTATCTATTTGCATAACTATATATCACAATTTTAAATTATAGAGTTGGCGAATTAAAAGCAGAATTTAGAATAAAGAATAAAAATTTTGAAAGATGTCTATAAGACAGCATTGAAAAGCTTATGTAACCCAACCCATATCTTTAGTACTTATCCATTTTACTCTGTTTTTTGAGAGAGATAGAGATAGATATACGTATTTTCTAAATAAGCAATATAGTTTCTCGGACCATAAATTTTGAATAAAATGCGACAGGTAAAGTTTTCTTGCATTGCAAGAGTTATCTTTCTTTTTGATGTTTGTTGTGGTCGAAATTACCCCGAGGCCGGTCGAAATTAACCCATGCAACATGCTTACTTATTTTTAAACCAATTCATTATTTTTTATGCATTTTTAACTCCTAAAGCAGAAAAATCTGAAGAAAAAAATCAATCTCAATTACTTTGATTCTTTTTTAACTAGTACATTTGAAAACAGTCGTGTTTTGTGGATTGAAAGCCACAAATCAGCAAAAGTGGTCGAAATTACCCCACTCTACCCTATAAGAGTGTTCAGTTCAGTGCAGCAAGTACATGTAATATGTAAATATTTATTTGAGAGAGCTGTGAAATGAAGGTATTAATCATTAAAACTGTTTTATTTATGAAAGTAATATAATGCCTAACAAAAAAAATATATATTTGGTTTCCAATAAACAAAAATAGCCCCTAATAATTTTGTACTATTTTTGAAAAAGTTTTCTGAAGTTAAAGGAAATCTGAAATGATTTGTCTCCACCAAATCTTGGATAAATTCTTATAAATTACTTTTAGTATTATAATAAAACTTGAAAAAAGAGAAAACTATGTACTGTGGAACTGTTTGGGTGCTTATGCTGATAAAACAGCTGTGACTGTAAAACTGAACTAATTTATTGTGCTGCATTTCTATTTGTGTGTGTTTTGTTTTTTCCCCCAAACTTAAACCAAATATCTAATGTACAGATACTTCAAAAGATGTTGTAAGTTTTGTTTTTGTTGTTTTTTTTTAAGCATTCAGTTTGTGAAATTTGTTTAAGCAGTTTACAGATTTCAATCCCATATCATTTTCAATAATAATTGAATGAAAAGAAGATTTCTTTGGAAAATGAAGGGTAATAGATTATAAAAACTGAACTTCGCTTACATGTACATGTATATTAATTTATTAAACTAGAACTAAACCTTAGCAAACTCTCCTTAATGAATTTTAGTCAACAGTGAGATGTGGTAGCCAGCGGCCTAACAGACTTATCTCATTCAGAGGATTTCCATTCCGGTATCTTTCTGGATAATGTTTTAAAACTTGAAAAAGTTTGACTGGTCAAGCATTTAGCCAGAATAGTTTACTTGTTTCAGCTTAGATATTTGTAGAATTAATGTGGATAACATTTAGGATATGTTGTTTAAAAAGCCTTGTTATAAATTAGGTTGTAGCAGCAAAAATAATGACAAATGCCAAAAGTCCAGACAGCAGCTGTTTTGGTTACATCATTCTTTCCTCTGTTGGGGATGCCAAGACCTGTATCCAAAGTCTACACAAGACAGAACTGAATGGCAACACGATCAGTGTAACATTTGATAAGGTAGGAAAAGTAAACTGTTCATAGAGGTGATTTACTATGGAATCATCATTGTTTGTGGATTTCATGGGTCACCCTTACCCACGAATTTACATCCCCATGAATGTTTGTTTTATAAACATTGATTCATTGAATTTTCTGTAAAAAACAACCCATGAAATCATGACCCCATGAACAAGTAAAATTTTGCTTGTCCACGAACATTGGTCTCCACGAATTAAAATGATTCCACAGTATAGAGAAGGAAACAAAATGATCTTGAGAAAGAAAATATTATATAAGAAGATTATTTTTGTAATTTTCATTGGCTGAAAGTATGTCACAGGATATTAGTCCTTTTGTGATATTTACACAAAAGTGCATCTGAGGAATATGATATTGCACAACTTACCATCTCTATTAATGGCTGTGCCAAAGACACATAGCACAGCATGACATCATAATACTGGAAGCATGTTTTTACCATTACGACGTCATGACAGCTAATCAAATCTGTTAGATGTAAAGCTAGGACTGAGTCAAATTATTCATTTGGAGTGATTAACTATTATTGACTTTAGTGAACTGTCAATATGTGGTCTTAAGGATCCATGTCAAGTGATAATGACCTCAGACAGAGAAAATTGGAATGGCAATCTCTGTTGCTATCACTTTCTGTGTCATTGGTTAGAATCACTTTACATAGGTCCTAACAACCACATATTGACCTACACTGAAGTCCATAATTGTATATTAACTCATGTAATGCACATGCTGTATAAGAAGCCTTCAAGAATTTGCAGTAAGCTGTTCACTGAACTTGTGAAGCATGTAAAGAGAATACATTCACTGCAGTTGTCATTAGCCATCATCATTTGCTTAGATTAAATCAGGTTGTGTTTCTCTATCTATATATTAAATGTTTCTTAGCACCAAGGGGCTTTATTGTAGCTCCTCTGATCTTTAACACAGCCAAAGTGTACATGACAATCAGTCCTCTGAAGTAGGCTTTGAATATAACATTTATTTTCCTTCAGCCCAAGCCAGAATCATCCACAGCTGATAGAAATGTGGAATCCCAGTCATCAAGCAAGACTGAACCTGCTGACAAATGTAAGATTTTCTATAGCTCCATGTAAGGAAAAGGGGTGTTTATCCACAGATCTAATATGTATACCATATTGATATATATCACTTTAAATCTTATTTAGATATATATGATTGAGGAAAAATTTCTTTTTTAGCTAAAGAAACTTCTAGCAAGTGTGCACCGAAACCGACCAGTGGTAAGATTAAACTAAGCAAACCAGGTTCTGCAGCATCAAAGTCAAAGGTCATTGATGTCAAAGGTCAGGCCAAGCAAGCTAAGAATGGCAGCAAGGAATTAGACAAAAAGTCCAGTGAGAAGACACCACTGACTGAGAAATCTAAAATTGCGAAGAAACCAAAGGACACCCAAAGTAAAGAGTCTGAAGGGAGAAAGATAATATCCACAGGTGTGTACAGTGTAGTAGCATTGTAGACATGTTTAACCAGAAAGATATTTTATAGTTAGTGCAACATTTGAATTTCCTTCAGTGACTGTAAAGATCTATGTGATCTTGTAAATTGTTTTGTAGTGAGAAAGTCAACTGGAGAAACGAAAAACGAGGTGAAACGTTCCAATATAATCTCTCTTAAAAGCAAAGGCAAGAGTGATGAAAAGAATTACAAATCTTCTAAGGACAGAAGCCTCACCAAAGACAAAGGAGAGAAGCCTCGGAGAATCATCCACCTGAACAGACTGGAGACCACGAACAGACGCGGCTGGCAGTCGGGCTGGATGCGGAATCACAGAATCGGCTACTTCAAATCCCGCAATGTCATGTCGTACTCCTGTGATCAGGTATTTTGCTGTAACCTTTAAAAGAAATTAATTGATTAATTAAAATTATACTGTAATGGTGTGTCAAAATTTAAACAACAAAGGAAAATTGGATTTGATATATTATTTTCATTGTAGCAACGCAGAATGTCTCCTTTCCGTACCCATAATGTGGTGGACAAAAGTCGAAGGCTGAAAGATCTTCACATTAAACAAAGAGAGGAGGCATACAAATTAGAGCATGAGAGGGAGCAGATCAGGTAAGATAACTCTCAGTCAGGAACAAGGATTAGGTACCCCTCTTATAAGTAACAAGAGAGGGAGGTGATCAGGGGCCCCTCTAACCAGTAAATTAATAAATATGGAGATGATCAGGTACCATTCTGATAACAAGAGATGGAGAGGATGAGGTACACCTCTAAGCAGTAACAAGTGAGGAGGATGATCAGGTACCCCTCTAATCAGTAACAAGAGATGGAGAGGATCAGCTACTCATCAGTAACAAGAGATGGAGGGGATTTGGTACTCCTCCAATCAGTAGCAACATGGAGGGGATCAGAGACTCTAATTGTAACAAGAGATGAAGGGGATTAGTAATTAATATAATCAGTAACAACAGAATGGGGATCAGGTACTAATATTAGTTTAATCATAACAGGAGAGGGGGATGATCAGGTACTCCTGTAAAGTGGCAAGACCTTATGTGCTCAGGTATTGTCTGCATTTAGAACTTTTCTCTGATTTAGCAATATCAAACCATCAGTATATACAAAGAATGTGTTGGTCACATTATGTGAGTTAAGTGAAGAATATTTTTATAAGAGTGATTAATATTACTTGCTGAAGTGAAGTTTTTAAGAGTTATGTAATGTGACTTGTGTTGAAGTGACATTATAAGGATGATATATTGTGACTTGTACTGAAGTGAAGTTTATGAGTGATATAATGTGACTTGTGTTGAAGTGAGGTTATAAGGATGGGATAATGTTACAGGAGAGCGACGGAGGAGATGGAGTGGAGGAAGCAGCAGGAACAGATTCGTCTGGAGCAACTTGATCTGGAACGACGTGAGAGAGAGTGGGAGGAGCAGAGGCTTCTGGAGCAAATCAGGTAACGTCTCTTCTCTGTTTGGAATCTGCTTTTTAAAGAAAGGTGTGTTTCAAATCACAAATAATTTCAGGTAGGTGTATAAGTTTTTGCAAAACCTAATTTTGTACACTCAAGTGTAAGTTATTAGAGTTTCATTTTATTATCATTTACAAGTAATTTTTTTTCATATACACTAGATCCCAGAAATTACAAAAAAAGCTTTTTCCTGATAAAATGGCAGTACAGAGATTTCTATCAATGTAAGTGACAGTCTTTAATTGTCAGTTGTTACACTATGTTTCCAGACTGGAGGAGGAGGAGAGACTGAGGTTTGAGGAGGAACAGAGGATTGCAGAATTTGAAGCAGAGCAGAGACGTCTAGAGGAGGAAGAAATGAGGATCAGGGAGGCAGAAAGGATGCATTTCATGGAACCAGTGTGAGTCTTACCCCATGATTTGAACATTATTTTGCTGAACCATTACTTGTGTGTATATTATCAAATTACTAGATATAATTTAAAGAATTAAATACCATCTTTTTCTTTATTTTTAAGGTTCAATGATCAAGACAGATTTATTGAGAACAGATGGTCACCTCATGGTGTGGAGAGATTCAGGGGCCCAGGGGATTCCCCTGATGACAGATCTAGAGGTCGCCATGGAGATGACCTTAGAGGATACAGGTCACATCATGAGGAGAGAAAGCATAGAGACAGAAGAAGTGCTGAAAAGTATGAGGCAAAGAAGAAAGAGGAACGAGAAAAACAAAGGTTGAAATAAAGACATCACACTAATATTTTTTATGCCAGCTCTTAAATTATAATTTCATAATTTTACTTCTCTGTAATTTTGCTCAAATTGAAAGATGTTTTATCACTATACTGCAACACTATATCTTTAAACTAGTAATAGAAAATGAGATAATTTTTATCTACTTTAACAGGAAAGAAAAAGAGCGTCATGATAGAGAACGGAGGGAAAGGGAGAAAAGAGAAAAAGAACGACAAGAACAGTTAGAAAGAGAGAGGCAGGAGAGAGAACAGCGGGAGCGAGAACGTCAAGAACAGGAGCAGCGTGAAAGGGAGAGACTAGAGCAAGAAAGACGAGAGAGGGAGCGTCTGGAGCAAGAAAGACGAGAGAGGGAGAGACTTGAACAGGAAATGAAGGAACGAGAACGGAGAGACAGAGAGCGGCTAGAGAAAGAAAGACAGGAACGACTGAGGCTGGAGAAAGAAAAGGAAGCTCAGGAGAAAGAAAAACAGGAACTAGCAGAACGGGTCAAACAGCTAGAGAGAGAGAATGAAGAAATACGACTTAAAGAAAACAAGATTAAGGAAGAGCTGAGGTAAGTTATATACATGTATGTATGAAATTAACTCATTCTTACCAGCATTATATTCAAATACATGTATTTTATAGAGTTTCATTTTACAAATTTTGGTTTAGAACAATCAGAGTTGATAACCCGTTTACTTGTCATGAGATGATATCTAGAATATTTCTTTATATTGTATTAGACTTGAAAAGGAGGAACACGAGAGGATAAAGAGGGATTCATTAAAGAGATCTTATGAGCCTAGAAGTCATCATGAGTATCCAGCCCCGGTGAAGCGACCGACTGTCTCTGATAATAGATACAGCTCTCAGTAAGTTATTTAGTAAAAGCATCATTAGTGTGTATACATTATTAGTGTCCACAGCAAAATATGTTGTACATAAAGTTTATCTTCTTTCAGTCTGTCACAATTTTATCTAACACAATAATGAGTGCTTTTCAACTACAAAATTCATGTTTGCTATATTTTTGTAAAGGAGTGTGTTCTAGGAGTTAGTAGTCAATCGGTAAAGATTTATATTAAGTTCATGAATTCTTTAGTGTGACATGATAAACATTTTTTGCTGTGTTATGACTTCATTTTCAATATTTGGGTTGAGAACATTACAGGAAGACATTTATACAATTTTGGATCCATCAGTCAAAAGTCAAAATCAAAAGATCAAGGTTAATGATTTAATCAGGCTTGGGATAGGGAGGAAGTGATGTTGGTTATCTAATTTTTAGCTCACCTGAGCTGAAAGCTCAAGTGAGCTTTTCTGATCACATTTTTTCCGTAGTTCGTCTGTCCATCCGTCCATCTGTCCGTCTGTAAACTTTTTCACATTTTCAACTCCTTCTCCAGATACACTGGGCCAATTTCATCCAAACTTGCCACAAAGCATCCTTGGGTGAAGGGGTTCAAGTTTTTTCAAATGAAGGGCAATGCCCTCTTCCAAGGGGAGATAATTAAGTATTAGTGAAAATTTGGTGTCTTCTTTTGAAAATCTTCTCAAGAACCAATGGGGCTTATTATTAAGCTGATTTGGATATAATTATGGCTCTCTAAATTGAGATCGTGGGGAAATTTATGGGAAACCTTCATTACATAGTGTAGATTCAAGTTTGTTCAAATCATGAACCCCCGGGGGTAGGGCGGGGCCACAATGAGGGATCAAAGGATTACATAGGAATATATATGAAAATTCTTTAAAAATCTTCTTCTCAAGAACAACAAAGCCACAATTATTCATACTGATTTAGAATCATCCTCAGGTAGTGTAGAATCAAATTTGTTCAAATCATGACCCCCAGGGCTAGGGTGGGACCACAATGGACGATCAAAGTTTTGCATAGGAATATACAGGAAAAATCTTTAAAAATCTTCTTCTCAAGAACAACAAAGCCACAATCAGTCATATTGATATGGAATCATCTCAGGTAGTGTAGAATCAAGTTTGTTCAAATCATGACCCCCAGGGCTAGGGTGGGACCACAATGGACAATCAAAGTTTTACATAGGAATATACAGGAAAAATCTTTAAAAATCTTCTTCTCAAGAACAACAAAGCCACAATCAGTCATATTGATATGGAATCATCTCAGGTAGTGTAGAATCAAGTTTGTTCAAATCATGACCCCCAGGGCTAGGGTGGGACCACAATGGACAATCAAAGTTTTACATAGGAATATACAGGAAAAATCTTTAAAAATCTTCTTCTCAAGAACAACAAAGCCACAATCAGTCATATTGATATGGAATCATCCTCAGATAGTGTAGAATCAAGTTTGTTCAAATCATGACCCCCAGGGCTAGGGTGGGACCACAATGGAAGATCAAAGTTTTACATAGGAATATATAGGAAAATTCTTTAAAAATCATCTTCTCAAGAACAACAAAGCCACAATCAGTCATAATGCTAAGGAATCATCCTAAGGTAGTGTAGAATCAAGTTTGTTCAAATCATGACCCCCAGGGGTAGGGTGGGGCCACAATGGGGGATCAATGTTTTATGTAGGAATGTATAGGAAAAATCTTTAAAATCTTTTCAAGAACAGGAAAGCCATGATTAGTCATATTGATATTGAAGCATCCCCAAGTATTGTAGTTTCAAGTTTGTTCAAGGCATCCTTTAGTAGTAGGGTGGAGCCATAATGGGGGATCAAAGTTTAACAAAAGAATATATACAAGAAATATCTTCTTAAAAATCTTCTTCTCAAGAACAACAAAGCCATAATTATTCATATGGAAGCATCCTTAGGTAGTGTAGATTCAAGTTTGTTCAAATCATGACCCCCCCCCCCCCCCCCCGACCCCCTACCCCCCAGGGTAGGGTGGCAGACATCTTTATAATTTCATTTTCAAGAACAGCAAAACCATGATTAGTTATACGAATATAGAAGCATCCTCAGAAAGTTTAGATTTAATTAGGGCCCCGCAAGGATTTGCGGGTGCCCTATAGTAATCACTCTGTCTGTCTGTCCATCCGTCTGTCATTCTTCCATCCACAAATTTTCTGTTTTTTTCTAATAATTTTTTTTAGGATTGACCAATTAAGTTCAAATTTGGTATGTTGGTTGAATAGGCAGTAAGATATATTTTGATGCTAAGTTCTCTTTGTCATCCGGTTTGGAGCTGGGGTGGTGATTCCTTAACTTTATATAAGAGTGAATGGGCAAAGAGAGATAACTGCTGAGAATGTTCCTATCGTAAACTATGAAAGGCTGCAATGAGTCTCTTGGGATTAATTAACTTTCCTCTTGAAGAAAATCCAAAGCATTTATCTTTATCTGTCACATTGAGATTAATGAACACCTCTGTTTGCAAATAAAGTTTGTTTTGAAGTTAAGGTCAATTCTGAATGATGTTTACATTCTCTGAAATGTTATTTAAATAATGTTCATACTTTATTTTGGTAAAATGCACAATGAGTTATTTTATTGAATTCTAAAAACAAGATAAAGATATCTTTTTTATTATTATTTTATTTTATTTTTTTTCCTTTTTTCTTTCTTTTTTTTCTACCTTATGTAAATTCAAGAATACTATTTATTTTAACAGGTATTCAGATATTGACAGATAATAACCTCAATCTATCATTGCTGAAAAAGTTCTTATTGTAAACTTAGAAGAAAAGGTTGAGAAAGCAGTATAATTAATCCCCTGGGATTGATTATCTTGCTAGTTGCAGAAAATTTTATAGGGTTATCTTTCTGTCACTTTAAGATTAATTAACACCTTTGTCTGCAACTGATGTTTGTTTTGAAGTTAAGGTCAAGCCTGGGTGATATTTGCATTCACTGAAGGCTGGCGTTTTAGAAAACACATGCATCATTCTTCTTTAAATATACATTCAATTGAGTTATTATAGATATGATGTTTTTTACTGCCTAATGTAAATACAAGGACACTATTTACATGTTGTTGGATATTTAGCAGTTGCTGTTGCTTATTCTTCTTTATATATTTTTAAATTTTTGTAATTAAGTAAAATTCTCATCCCCTTATCTGCACTCTCATATTTCTACCCCTCGGCGGGGCCCTTGCTGACTGGTCAGATTTCTAGTTTCATTCAAAATATGGCACCTGGTGATAGGGTTTACATGGAACAGGCAATCAAAGCTTTACATATGAATATATAGAAGAAGAAATCTGCTGACAAAGAACAGCAGGGCCATATTGACTCAGGTGAGCGTTGTGGCCCATGGGCCTCTTGTTATGTTTGCAATGTATTATACTGTGCAAAAATGTTTCATTGCTATCCATTTTTTTAGTGTTGGTAAAACTTACAACAACTACCAGACTCCTGACCCCCAGAGACGAAACTGTGAGCAATCGGAGGACCACCGAGAAGTTTACCTGGAGCGCAGAGAAGCCCCTTACAACAAAGACCAGAATGACTATGATGAAAGAGAGAGATACAATAAGTTTGTAGGAGAAAGAACCGTCACAGTGTACCGTAAATTTGACAATGATCAGTACGACCATAGTAGAAACACTGAAACTGCAGTGGCTGAAGTATATGATCATACTAAACATAACTATAATAGAGGCAGTAATAGTGGATCTCCGGGAGTATACGACTGCAGTAAAAGTGACTACAATAGAAACACTGCCCCGGGAGGCTACGACCGCACTAAAAATGACTACAACAGACACAGTGATATATCAGCTTCTGGAGGGTACGACCGTACTAAGAATGACTATAACAGAAACCGTACTACGGCAGCTTCTGGGGTGTACGACCATACTAAGAATGACTATAACAGAAACCGTACAACGGCAGCTTCTAGGGTGTACGACCATACTAAGAATGACTATAACAGGGACTATGATAAACATTACAATCCCCCTAGCAACACTGATCGTAATAGAGACACGAGAGCCTCACAATCTTCAAAAAGCCATACCAGTTATGATCGACCGAGAAGTGACAACAGAAATGATGCTAGAGCTCCAAGTTATGGAAAGAGTCATGGGTCAAGTGGCAGCCACAGCTATGGAAAAAGTTTTGATTCTAATAGCAGTCAGAGTTATGGAAAAGGTTATGACTCTGACCACAGTCACAACAGGAATAAAAGTAATGTGAAAAAGGAGTATACTGATTACAAATCCTCAAATAAAAGACACGCATATAAAGCTCATGAGGACTCAGACAAAAGCAAGGGTAGCAACGACAGGAAGACTGCTCCTAAAGGCCGCTCCACTGATGACCTGTGGAGGAATGCTGGGTACGGAAAGACAGTGACAGAAGACAGAGATGGAAACAGTTATAGCGGATCATCAGGCAACAAGGGGACAGCAGACACTAACTACCCAGGCAGCAATACACAGTCAACATGGTCTCAGAGGGGACGCAACTCCTCTACAGCACCAAACTCCAGAGGTATGGGTTCATGTGTTTTAAAGAAAAAAATATCAATGCATGTTGCGATTTTTTTCTGTTGTTCAAAATTTAGGTTAGAGAATGATGACAGTGATAAACTTTTGTACACAGGCATTTCTCTTATTTGTTCATGTAGGTGGAGATTATCAACATAATCAAAATGCACCTTCAATGAAAAATGATAACAAAGGCCCCTCAGTGTGGGGGAGTGGAGCCGGCTACACAGGACAGAACAGTTCACTGCCACAGACCAGAATGACTGCATCATTCGGCAGCAATGATCGGATGAACTCCGGTAATATCCAAGACTTGCCAGTACAACAGACTGTGATGTTCCAGGATAGCCGGCTTGGTAATCCTCCATCGAGCGTACCTTATCCAATGATGACTATACCCCACAGGAATTCAGGACCCAGCATGATGCCACCCCCTAATGCTGCCATTATCCCCCAACCTCAGCCCTCTTTGGGCATCATCCGCCCCCAGGATCAGGGCGTTCAGCCTGGATTTGTTAATGTGACTTATAAGTATTACACACCAGGCAGGCCTTATTGAAGTACAGTGTAATATACTATATTTTAGCAGCTACGTAATGTTGTGATTGTTTGGTCTTTCTTGATTTTATCTTTTATGTGAAGAATGGAGAGGTGGACAAGGATTTCTACATAAAACTACTTACACGTACATTTATATCATGATAAATTTAACAGCTAATAATGAATGTGAAGAAAATTTAGTTCAGTACAAATAAAAATCTGTGAAATCCAATGTGCATTTCTTTTATGAAACTCCAGGAATTGCAGACACAAGTGCTACATGTACATGTTCTTAATCCTGATCATGATATGTACATGTATTACAGTCTAATGTGAAAGAAATATGGATTCAGTGTTTTACTTGAGAATACATGTATATAGAAGCCCATGGAAAAAGTGACCCCCTATTGTGGCCACACCTTTTCTCCATGCCACATGATTTGAACTAACTGGAATCTGCACAACCTGGAGATGCTTGCATATAAATATGACTAATCATGGTTCTGCTGTTCTTTAGAAGGAAGTCCTTAAAAAGAATTTTTATGCCTCCCTTTGAAAAAAGGGGCACATTGGTTGCACTTATCTGTTGACAAAGTTATCTGCTCAATATCTTAAAAATTCTTTGCTTGACAGACATCTAACTAGGTTCTCTGGTATTCCGGAAGGAGTAGATAACCCTATTCATTTTGAGGTCACAAGGCCAAGGGACATTCTCTGGATATAAGAACATATTTTTCCACTTGAAATCTTGAGCATTGAATTTGTACACTGGTATCCCCTAAAAAGTAGATGACCCCTATTGATTTTGAGGTCACACTGTCATTTATTGGGTTGAACTACTGTACTCTGGATCTAAGATGTCTGCTCATGTCTTTTGTCTACTCATTATCTTGAGAAGACATTGAACATGGCACACTTTGACCTTTTAAGTCAAAGGTCATTGATCAAATTACTGTAAATGTACTTTTTTCCACAGGGTCATAATTCTGTGGAATCACAATTTCTCCTCAATCTGCAGACAGAAAATTACACAGATTTCTTTGATTGCCTTTGTATGCCTTAAATGCACTTTAAGTACACTGGGATAAATTTCTGCCTTTGCATGACAGACATCAAACTTGATTTCCTGTAAGAAGTAGATGACCCTTATTGATATTGAGGTCAGATAGAGATTGTGGTTGCCCCTGACAACAATATAACCCATATAATTTACTGTCTAAATTTAAAGTTGATCCATTTCAAATTGCCTTAAACTGGGCATATTTGTTACTGAAACACTTCCTGATACCTATATATTTCCATGATTAATCCATTATTGTGGTCCACTCCAAATCTCAATGATATGATTTCTTCTACCTGAGGATGAATCTAGTTGATACTTTGTGTCAATGAGATGTTATCTCATTATCAAATCTTTTTAGCCTGGATACTTAAGAGGCCTATGATCATCAAACCTTGTCAACTAGGTCCCTTTGGGCCTTGCTAAATGACCCAACCTTATTATTTGCCTTATTGATTACCTCCCTTTGGAAGAGGACATTGCTCTTAATGTGAAAAAAAAAACGTGAATCTTCCCCAAGATATACTCTGTGCTGAAATTGGTTGAAATTTGCTACGTGGTTTTAGCTAAAACCACTAGACAAATTTCAACTTATTTTAGCACAGAGCATATCTTGAGAAAGATCCAATTTTTTCACATAGTGTGCTTACCAATTTTTGTTCAAGGAGTACATGCACTACAAAGAAAGTCACCCATGTTATCTGAGTTCAAAATTGGTACATATCAAATATCCCAGCTAGGTGCTCATATATTTAAGTTGAAGTCTTATTTGCCACTGCTTCAGTGCAGCATACAAAGGTCTGGCATCTGCCACTGCTTCAGCACAGCATAAAAAATTCTGGAAATTTTCTAGTAGATGTCCTAAAGATTTCTATGATGCACTTTTCATAAACCCTGATTTAGGAGACACATTTCACTTTATCTTCACAACAGTCTTAAATTAGTACTGCAAAAGAAACTAGATATGTATAGATAAATGGAATGAGAGAGATCAGATTTTAATAAAATTACATGTTAATAATAATAATAATAATAAAACTTTATTTAAAGAAGGTAACCTGATTAGTGCAAGCACTATTCTTCCCCAGGGCCTTCTGTCAATAAACATTATAAAGTTAACATAGTTATACACATACAAACATATAATAAATATATCCATAAATATACAAAGACAAATATGAATCACAAATTATTCTGACATTGTTTTACATAATGTTTTACTTGTTTCTTGAAAGCATTAAGAGTTGGTGACATTTTTATATGTACAGGTAAATCATTCCATAACATGGCACCAGAGTACTGGAAGGAATTTTCAAAAAGTTTACATTTATGAATTGGCACACACAAGTCAACATTAGATTCAGATCGGAGATTGTATTGGTTATTACTTTGAAATTGGAACATGTCATTTAAATAAGTAGGGCAAGAATTAAAGAGGGATTTATATAGTAATACATATTTATTTACAGTAAGTTGTTCATAGACAGTTAGCCAATCAAGTTCATCAAAAAGAGGTCGTGAGGGTGCATCAGGGGGAGCATCTAAAATATACCTTGCAGCACGTTTTTGAAGCTTATGAACTCTGTCAAGATTTGATCGGGATGTATTGCCCCAAATTGTAAGGCAGTAATTAATGGTAGGCATGATATATGCATTATAAAACAGCTTGCGTGTTTGAGTGGGAAGATACTTTTTAATTCTTCGGAGGGTAGAAATTTTATGTGACAGGGACTTACACACATGGTCGATATGTACATTGTACTGTAGAGAGTTATCTAAATATACTCCAAGAATCTTCTCATGTGTTACGTTGTCTAGCTTCTGATTTGATATGTATAAAGAAAAATCATGCTCTGAGAATTTTGATCTCTTCTGATGTGTGCCTATTAACATGCATTTAGTTTTTGAAGCATTAAGTACCATTTGATTCTGAGAGCACCATTTTTCTGTACAAGCAATGTCCATTGATAATGCATTTACAATAGATTGGGAATCTTTGCCGGGGACATGTAGAGTGGCATCATCTGCAAACAAATCTATGTTTGAATTTTTAATATTAAGTGGAAGATCGTTAATGTAAAGTAAAAACAGAAGAGGCCCTAGTATAGATCCCTGTGGAACTCCCGCTGTGACTTGCTGATAAGATGGTTGTTTGTTAGACAGATGGACACTTTGAAGTCTGTCACTTAAATATGATCGAAACCACTGTAAAGTTATTTCATTAAAATTATAACACTGTAGCTTTTTAAGAAGAATTTCATGATTTACTAGGTCAAATGCCTTACTGAAGTCAAGAAAGACAGTACCAACAAGTTTGCCTTGATCCATTCCATATAACCATTCATCTGTAATTTTTGTTAGGGCTGTTTGACATGAGTGCAGTTCTCTGAAACCTGATTGAGATTCTATTAAAAGATCAAAGTCTGAAAATAGAGATCGGATATATTTTGCCACATGTTTTTCTATAATTTTTGATAATGTCGGTAAAATAGAAATGGGTCTGTAGTTATTTGGATCTAGTTTGTTTCCCTTCTTAAAAACTGGTGTAACTTTGGCAAGTTTAAAACTCTTAGGAAAAATACCAGTTGTAATGCTAGTATTTATTATGTGGGTCACAGGTTTATGTATTATTTGTGCAGTAAGTTTTAATAGACGTGGACCAATGGTATCTACACCTGATGATTTACTAACGTCTAGCTTATTAAGTAAGTAAAGCACTTCATCGGGACTTATAAGCGGGATACCAACTATTTCTGTACCCATTTTAGATTGTACAAAATTCAAAAGGCCGTTAATGTCACACTCCTCTTTATTTACACCTTCAAGGAGTTTAGTAGAGATATTTGAAAAATGAGAATTAAACATCTCTACAATTTCTTGTGTATCCTCTGTAACATTATTATTTTGTGCCAGTGCGGTCGGAAATAATTTTGTGGAGTAGAAGCTAATTTATCTAATGCGTCCCACATCTGGCGTGGATTTTTGTTTTGCTCTATAGTTGATTTATAATAATTTATTTTTGCATTTTCGATAAGTGATGTTACCTTATTTCGCCATATTCTCAAGTTTTCAAAGTCTTTATTTTTATGGAAGTTATTGCGCATGTGCTGTGCTTCGAGAATTTCTTGGGTTAACCATTTTGGTCTTGCATCATACTTCACTCTTTTTGTTTTTATTTTTGCATGTTTGTCTAGTACAGTATTAAAAAGTGAATAATTTTTTTTTAATGTATCATTTGGATTAGAGAGTGAATCTAAAGATTGGAAATTAACCTTTTCCAAGTCTGAGAGAAAGTTTATTTCATTAAACTTTTTGAAGTCTCTAATCCAAATGCCAGGTTTCAGGACATTCTGTGACAAAGTTTGTAAATCCTCTGGTGTATCTCGGACACACTGTTTATCAGCAAGCAGGGATACTATGTTTGACCTGGGTGATAGAATCAGATATACAGATAATTATTATCAACTGAAACAGGAAGTAGATAGCATATAATATAATAAAAATGGCAATCAATAATTTATAAGTTAGTATGGAGCAGATATGGTAGTAGTGACGATAGTAAATTACAACACTATTAGATAAGTTGGTAAAGATTAGAAAATTAAAAAACCCAGTTTCTAACCTATTGATTCTATATACTGATTAATGGTATTTAATATATCACTAAATTGTATATAAACGATATTAAGCCTTTGGACCGCACTACTGGGGCTGTATATTGAGCAAAAAATTTCAATACAATACGATACAATATTTTATTAAGCGATATGCGATATATTGGATTCTTTAATAAGTCTACCAAAAAAGTCTTGTAAATCATTTAATGTATAGATTTTATAAAAACTCAGTGTTTTATAACCCATTAATCTAAGTTCTTGTCTCACTGTCATTGCAAAATACACTTCAAATTCAAACTTTTTAATGACTGTAAAACCAACACGTTAAAATATATAGTTGTCCATGTATTTTGTAATACTTATTTATTATGTGCTATCTCCTTCGCATTTATATCATTATTGATCAGTTTAATTAAAAACAGATAAATATAATCTTTGGTGATTGAAATTCCCAACCTTTTCACAGAAATTTAAGAAAAACTGCCTGCCCGATACGTTTTGGAAGTTTTTTTTCGATACGATACATTCGTATATCGATACGTATCGATATATTGATACAGTCCTACGCACTACTAACTGGCCCCCTGTGCCAAGAAATTTCATGAAAGCTTCTGTTGGACGAAAGATTAAAACATTCTCAATTCTGTTATCTTGCTCAAAATGTGTACTGCAAATTAATTTTCATGGCCTGATCCTTGTTTGGATCATGGTTGAAGGTGGTTAACACATATCTCTGTGTTGAATACAAAAAATTAAAATCAATAAATAAATCAATAAAATAAAACTTCTGAACTCTGCGACCTTGTCTTAGAATAAATATTCCTTTGTTCAGGGCCATGACATATCCAGTATGATCATAATTCTTCCCGAGGGTAAGTGTGATTTTTTAAAGTTATTTCATTACAAAATTGTGTTATGGACAAGAAATTTACACCTAACATACTGACCTTGAACTTGTACAGGGCTGTTACCCGGGCCACCCTCTGATCACAAACACCAATTTTTACTAGAATACATGTCATTTACATTTTTCTTCACTTCAAAGTTATATCCAAAACAGTAATTTTATATTTCTAAAGCCAGTGACTTTGACCTTAATGTAGGAATTACCTTGGATTAAGGTCAGGATAGCTCTTCAATACACAAATAACCTTTGTCTCAAATATCAGATTTTGATTTAATATTCTTCATTTCAAAGTTTGGCTATAACAAAAATTTAATACATTTAATGTGACGTTGACCTTGCCAAAATGACATTGGTATTATGCTTCAATAATGTAGCCCTCTGAGACTTTTTTTTTAATTTGATGTATTCATTCATACAGGAAAAAAATGGACAGGGCTTATTATTGCAGCTAACTTTGGAACAGAGTCAAAACGCACCTCTGGTCTTAGGCTGCCTTTGTATCAAATATAAGCCTCTAAATTAAGCCAGACAAAAATTTCACTCCTCTTTAAGTTCCTTAAAATTTACAACAAAATCTACAAGTTTGTTATTTTTTTTTATTTTGACAAATCAATCTGATTATTACAGGTACACTTGTTCAAATGGTATATATTTCTACAATTTCTACAGTTAGACCAAAAAAAAAAGTTTCAGAAAATATATGTCAACATGCCCCCCCCCCCCCCCCCCCCAACACACACACACAAAGACACGGAAACTGGAAGTTAATATAACTATATAGTATATGCATGTATAAAAAATGATCCTTTTTTTATATACATGCACATACTATATACTCGCATTTAACTTCCATTGCCAAAATATTGCATGAATTTATGATTGGGTTCGACATTCAATTGAACCATATGATGGTCACGTGATGAAAATATGGCTGTCAAAATAGATTTGACAGAAAGTGAAAATTTTATCCTGTATTTTAAATCAAATTTAAAAGAATGTATATGAAAATGAGACGATGGAAACAGTGGTCGATAGAGTCATTGACATTTTCCACCATCATAAAAGATTTTCTTCGATTCAGAAGTTATGTATTTTAGCGATAGTCTTAGGAGGTGTGTCTCTCCTGACTGGTCTTTGGACGTGGTTGATTACTTACATTATATCTATATCCTCAACAGTTCTGATTTGTCAATATCTGATAACCACAGATGCCAATTTCACATTAATAGAAGATTTGCTTATACTTTTGAAGTCTCACGAAAACGACTCCTGGTACACTTACTTGAAGGAATTTGTTAGAGGTGAAAAATCCAGTGAGAATACAGTACAGGACCAAAGTGACGGTCAAAGAAAAGTAGAAAATTCATCATGGGAGGATGAAATTCATTTATTGGCAACTCTTATATCTCAGGATTTTATTAGACCATGGTACCTTACTGTGAGTAATAGGCATGAACTCTTGGAGGAGAAAGAGGAGGTCATCTTCAAAGCATTTAGACTTCTGTGTCTAAAGTTCACAAAAATCAATATCCATGAACTATGTAGAGAGTTATTACTTTGTTATAAAGAGCACCTGCGGAACTTTCAACAGGCAAAGTCTGTGTACAACACTCGGCCGCGAAGAAAGAGTATTCCTAGTCTCAATTCTCCCTCCGCTAAGAAAGTGTCATCGGTTGAAGAAGCATATGAAATGAAGTTTTCTTATCACAGTGCAGTATGGGAGATGGAGAATGAAATTACTTATCTAAAATCGATAATAAATTTACTTTTGTCAGAGTTTTTGGTAAAACAATTGCAAGACAGCAGAACTCCTCAAGTGTTACTAGTAGAAATCTTAACATATAATGTTGCAAAACCTGCCTTTGATCTTCTGTCTAACCCCGACTTCTTACATGAATGTATTGTTCATATTTTATCTGATGAAGCTTTAATAGAAGTACCTCCAGAAGTCAGCACAAGTCGTAGTAGTGATCTTGTGCTGTTTAAAGATGTTAGGGAGGAATCTGAGGAGGAAGATGAATTTAAAGACCCACAACCTAGTTTTTCATCTAGTACAAGTATATTTGAAGAATCTAGTCAAAAAACCGAACTCACAGGGCAGCAGGAGACCAGAGAGTCTCTACACTATCCATTGTCTACAGTGGAAGCACAAGTAGCATTAGATGAGGAATCTGATGTAAACACAAACCAGAGCATTCCAATTTCCCTACTGGGACCAGCTTTTTGTCGTGATACAGGTACTAGTACATATATCCATTCCAATTTCCCTACTGGGACCAGCTTTTTGTCGTGATACAGGTACTAGTACATATATCCATTTCAATTTCCCTACTGGGACCAGCTTTTTGTCATGATACAGGTACTAGTACATATATCCATTTCAATTATAACCTAGAAGATATTAAAAAAGCATCATTTTTAAATCACAGAAATTTATTGCCCTGTTTATTTAAACGTGGATTAGATTTTACTTTGCATTACTTTAAACAAAGTACGAGTAAGTAGTGTTCACACACAATTAATGTGAAGTAAACTGATGCGCATTATATTTGTATAGATAAAATATCGCAATAGAATAATTTTTGCCATAAGGATGCATGCATATAAAGAGCAGAAAAACATCTGACATAATGGCATAATATATGTATGCATGGTAGAATGCATTGTAGAATGCAACATCTATTCAAGATTGGTCAAGGTAGCATTAAGTTACTTGTGACTGCTCTAAAATCATCTATTTGATAAATCATACAGAAAATAAAGGTCACATACAGCATCCAGATATATGCACTGGTAGTATGAATTCCTACATGTCCAAGATGCAAAATCTAAGCAGTAAAAGGTGAAGGTAGCATTAGGGATGCTTATAAGTATTGATGCTTTAGATGAACATTAATGGTAAGCATGATATAGATGTATTTTTCAAAAACTTTTAATTGACTTTGATGGAGTCCACTTTATGTTGAGTCAGATGCTGTTTGTGACCTACATTTAATTTACCTTTTAATGATTTCTGAGAGCATTCCCAAGTGATACCATTTTACATTAATGAACAAAGATATTTCATTGCATGGGCATACTACCAGCACCTTTTTCAAATGCTGCATGTGACCTACATTTTATAGCTGAAGTTTTGGATTAAAGGTTTTTGAAGCACTTTCCTGTTAAAAAAAATTATTGCAAATTTTGATGGTGTCCACTTTATAAAATATTAATCTTTCATTTACAGAGGTCAGTCAAGAAATCTCTGATAATGGTGATGGCAGGGATAACCCACAGGAGGGACACAAATTTTATCTTGGGAGTTTTGATGACATTTCTACATCAGGTGACAATTCAACAAGGATATTTTTAAATCTACGTATTGTTGATACAGAGACAGCCTCTGAAAACAGGGGAGCTAATCAGTATACACTATACACAATCCAGGTATGTCTGCCATGTTATTATTTATGTGAAAACTTTAATTTACTTTAAATGCTTACATATAAATACTGCTGTATAGATATGTTGACCTAGGAACTTACTTTTTTGTCAGTTATCAGATATAATTTTTTTTTCATTCAGTATGATGCATCATATCTTGAGGAAGGACGTACTGAAGTGCGTACAAACAGGGTTAAAAGAAGATTTCGAGAATTTATCAACCTGCAGAACAGATTGGAAGATAATCCCACATATAAAAGAAATCTGAAAGGTAAATTCATCTCGTAAAGGAGACAATCAGTGTAAAACATCATAGAATATTAATTAAATGGTTAATAGGTCTGTTAAGGTTATACCTATTTATTTCATTTTTAGTCTGATGATTGAAATAATTATGTACTGTGGATTCATTATTTGAGAGTTCAACATTATCGGTACATTGCAAAAAATTCCAACTCATTACCGCTACCTTTCCTGTAAATTTTGGGTACTCATTACCGCTACTCTTACCAGTAATAATGCATGATTCATTTGAAACATTTTCTGTAGATGTGAAAGGGTTAACAAAGTGGCTTTCATTGCCATTTGGTAATATGGATAAAAACAACATTGAAAAACGCAAGAAAACATTGGAAAATTTTATAAAGGTAAGGAACAGAAATATGCATTGTGATGTGTGCTATGTTTATCATCTGATATGTGATATGTAAATCATCTGATATGTGCTATGTTTATCATCTGATCTGATATGTGCTATGTTTATCATCTGATATGGGCTATGTTTATCATCTGATCTGATATGGGCTATGTTTATCATCTGATCTGATATGGGCTATGTTTATCATCTGATATGGGCTATGTTTATCATCTGATCTGATATGGGCTATGTTTATCATCTGATATGGGCTATGTTTATCATCTGATCTGATATGGGCTATGTTTATCATCTGATCTGATATGGGCTATGTTTATCATCTGATATGGGCTATGTTTATCATCTGATATGTGATATGTTTATCATCTGATCTGATATGTGCTATGTTTATCGTCTGATATGGGCATCTGATATGTGATATGTTTATCATCTGATATGTAATATGTCTATCATCTGATATGTGCTATGTTTATCATCTGATATGTAATATGTCTATCATCTGATATGTAATATGTCTATCATCTGATATGTGCTATGTTCATCATCTGATATGTGCTATGTTTTTCATCTGATATGTGATATGTTTATCATCTGATATGTTTATCATCTGACAATTGGTATGTTTATCATTGCTATGTGGAAAAGTAGTTTGCAGTTTTCCAATTAAAGGTGAAGTTGATTTTATTGTAATAGCTAAAGTAGCACATGTATATAATCCACAATCATATAAACATACTGTATATAACTTTATATCATAATGGGAAGTTTGAGAAATAATTATCTAGATGATTTTGTGATTTCATCAAACTAAATTTTGCTTAATCCTGAGGATGCGAGAAGGTACTATGAACATAATGAATTTAGCAGTAATCATATTTTAGCACCTTTGGGACTGCTTTTTGTAAGCTAATTCAAGTACTCACTTTGTTCCAAATGAGCTAAATCATGGTAACGCTAATCATTTGATGAGGAAGATGGCACTAAATTTTACTAATTAATGTATGCATTTTTAAGGTAATTTAATTTCAACTGCAAAAAGTATTTACTATTAAAGTAATAGCATCCAAAGTGATCGTATGTGAATGTCTTATAGGGTTCTATTGAAATCCTTGAGTAGGATAGTGTAGTTGACAAGTACATGTATAGCAGCTAAGTTGCTGACAGGGTGGTTAATGTGAAAAAAAAAACATGCTTTATAGGCTCTACTGGAAAAAGATCATATTTGTAACAGCCCAGAAATGAAGGAATTCCTGGCATATGATGGCAATGCCCACATAGCATTTGTCAGGAAGGCTCCAGATAGTGTTCAGCCACTAACGAAGGTATATATCTGTACATGGACAATTAACAGATCAAGACAAGTAACCTGTCTCAATAAATATATGAAGCTAAAATATAAAATTCACCAGGTGTATAATAAATTACACACATGCTATTGCTACAGATGTTTCATGAGTGTATTCTACTCTGATTTCAGATGGTTAGAACATTTTCCAGTGTTTTTGACAAGATTGGCGATAAGGTAGGAGAAATCTCCATAAATGTGACCGACTTACTTCCAAGTTTACCCCGGAGGAGCCAAGTCAGGGACCCTCAGAGCCTAGAGGAGGATGAGGATAAAATCCTGCTGGAGTTTGGAACCATTAAAGGGGATGTAAGTGTATTGCTTACTCTAAATGATATGGTAAAACATGCTTATAACAAAGTGCCAGGGACGGACGATTTTGCTTCTTTCATTATATCTGTTAAGTTCACAATATATATAAAGCCACAGGGAATGAAAAATCATGCTGTAAGCGTCTATTCATTATGAGTGTTTACTCTAAGCATGTTTTACTGTACTGATGTATACCTGCTAAATTGATGATCAAGGTCACATTTTTGGAAATGCATGTGAAGTAAAACTTCCAGAACCCTTTTCTTTTATACTTAAAAGGTAAATTGGTAACTTGAGCCTTGTTGAAGTTGTATCTTAAAAATCTGGGAGGGGTGTTGTTTTGCAAAACTAGATCAGAATGGTAATATTAAATGTAAATGGACAAACGAAATAAATCATGTGCACAGCACTCTTTTGATAATGTGGCTTGTTTCATATTTACTCTCAAGAACCATGTTTTATTTCTTCTGTTTTGTTTGTTACAGGTGCTTGTGTTGGAAAACCAGTTATCTAGTCATGTCAGTACATTTTGTGATGGTGAGGTAGACAGTTCAGATGAGAAAGGCAAAAGTGAGCCCCAGAAATCAGAAGGTATTGTATAGTAAAGGAGGAATGATATCCACAGTCCAAATAGCCCAAATTACTACAATACATGTATATTTATTTCTTATATTCTTGTCAAGTAACTGAAAAAAAATTACTTGTATGAGAATATCATATTTGGAAATGCAAGATTTTACAAAACAGTAATATATTCAAATGAAATAAATAACAGATGGAATAGTACATGTACTTTTTCAATATTTCAGTAATTTAAGATGTTAAATTTAACAGGAAGGTCTCTTTTATAATAGACACATGTAGTTCATTGATATTCTTGTATGTAAAATACAGTAGCTAGCTTTTTCAGGTCTTTTAAATGAAATCCATAATGCTGGGCTGGCAGAAGTGGTGTTTGACATAGTTGTGCAAGCTTTACAGGGCAGAAACTGTTGGGTGTGTCGAGAAAGAGTAATCTCCCTTGCCAAGCACATGCTTGGAACAGCAGTGAGCAGGTAAACCCTTCATCTCGGGGAAATTCAGGGAATTTTTTTTTCAGGATCAATAAAGCAATACTATCATATCATTTATAATAAAGTACAATAATGAATAGTAAGAGTGTTGCAGGCAATATCATTACATGTAAAGGACTGTGTGCAAAGCAATTTTTTATGCTTTTAAATTTTGCAGGTGGCTCAAATGGCAGATTAGTGATCTTACAACTCCTCAGAGATGTGCATTCTATCTACATCTGTTTAGGGAATCTATTTGGCCAAATGGGAAGTATGATTCATCCAACCGTGAAGTTAAATCAGAAAGACAGAGATCTGCAACCAAAGAGCAAGCTCAGAGAGTTTTAGCAGAATTTTTTCCAGGTATGTCTAACATCTCTAATTACACTGTAAAAGACATACTACTGAAATGCTCTGCTTAGGAAATTAGAAAAATTGGGATGTGAATCAAATACTTTGGAATCATTTTAAATCGTGGGGATCAATGTTCGTGAGCAAGCAAAATTTTAATTGTTCGTGGGGACTTAATTTCGTGGGTCACTTGTTTACATGGTAGATTCACTGAATCAATATGTTTACAAAATAAACGTTCGTGGGGATGTAAATTCGCGGATAAGGGTGACCCACGAAATCCACAAACATTGGTCCCCCACGAACAATGATGACTCCACAGTATCCTTGGTTACTCATGGTATAAACTTTCTGTATGTTGTGGTAAATACATGCTGACAATTTATGCTGAAATCTGCAGATGAAATTTGTTCACTCTAATGGTAAAAGTAAAGTTTTTTGCTCACCTGAGCTGAAAGGTCAAGTGAGCTTTTTCAGATCACCTGTTGTCCGTCGTCCATCCGTCTAGCTGTCTGTCTGTATGTCAGTCCATCTGTAAACTTTTCACATTTTCAACTTCTTCTCAAGAACCACTTGGCCAATTTTAACCAAAGTTGGTAAAGAGCATCCTTGGGTGAAGGGGAGTTTAAATTGTAAAAATGAAGGGCCAAACCCTTATAAGGGCAGATAATCAAGAAAAGACAAAAAAAGGGTGGGGTCATTAAAAAATCTTCCAGAAAAGCTGAAACTTATGTGGAAGCATCCTTGGGTAGTGTAGATTCTAAATTGTTCAAATCATGGCCCCTGGGGGTAGGGTGGAGCCACAATAGGGAATCAAAGTTTTACATTGAAATATATAGGCAAAATCTTTAAAAATCTTCTTCTCAAGAACTACTGGGCCAGAAAAGCTGAAACTTATTTGGAAGCATTCTTGGGTAGTGTAGATCCTAAATTCTTCAAATCATGGCCCCCGGGGGTAGGGCAGGGCCACAATAGGGAATCCAAGTTTTACATTGAAATATATAGGCGAAATCTTTGAAAATCTTCTTCTCAAGAACCACTGGGCCAGAAAAGCTGAAACTTATGTGGAAGCATCCTTGGGTAGTGTAAATTCTAAATTGTTCAAATCATGGCCCCCAGGGGTAGGGCGGCGCAACAATAGGGAATCAAAGTTTTACATTGTAATATATAGGCAAAATCTTTGAAAATCTTCTTCTCAAGAACCACTGGGCCAGAAAAGCTGAAACTTATATGGAAGCATCTTTGGGTAATGGGTAGTGTAGATTTTAAATTGTTTAAATCATGGCCCCCGGGGGTTGGGTGGGGCCGCAATAAGTATTAAAAGGGGGGTGAAGAATAGCAGGACCAAAGTAACTCAGGTGAGCATTGTGGCCCATGGGCCTCTTGTTATATGATGTGGTAAAAATATGCTGAGAATTTCCATTTGAATTTGTAGATGTTTTAGTTCAGCTCCTTGAAAAGGAAGACTATGATTGTGGGATAGAGGAAATCATAGATTCCATTCAGTATGAAAAACTTAACAAGTAAGACATTTTCACATAGACAATATTTTGTATCCAACTCTAAATGTTTCTGAATTATTTGATAAAGAATAAAAAAAATAAAAAAGCATCTGAATTATTTAATAAAGAATAAAAAAATAAAAAGCAGTCTAATATTACCTGTGATATTGACATGTTTCAGGCATTTCATTTACACTTTTCTGGATCTTGTTTTGGAGAAGATGTTTAGTGATATTCAACATGAGGCTGTGCAGAAGGAATCCCAGTGAGGGGAAGCTATGGGAATATTCCCAGTGAGGGGAACTTTGAGAACAATCCCAGTGAGGGGAAACTATGGGAACAGTCCCAGTGAGGGGAAGCTATGGAACATTTCCAGTGAGGGGAACCTTTGGGAACAATCCCAGTGAGGGGAACCTTTGGGAATAATCCCAGTGAGGGGAACCGTTGGGAAACAATTCCAGTGATGGAAGCTATGGGAACAATCCCAGTGAGGGGAAGCTATGGGAACATTCCCCGTGACAGTAGAGCAGATGCAAAGCATAATACTGCCTATACTGTCACTAACATGTTTATATTGCCTATACCCTCACTACCATGTCTTATGTTATGTTGTTGTAACAGTGAGCTGTGTTGTTTTTTTATCTGAGATTACATTGTACTTAATCACCTATTTGTGTTCTAACACTGGTTTGTAGTACCAGTATTTGTTAGAGACATTCCCATTTATAAAATGGTCCAAGCATATGTAATCATATTGGTATGGTTGTACTTAATGAAATATATTATTTTTAATACTAATCTTTATTTTAATTTTTACATGTGAAACATTACAACTGCAGTCATCAGTATGCAAAGCATTTAGTAAACTTTAAAAATTGTCATAGGTTTAATTCAAAGTTATTGCATGTTTTTTGCACATTGTGTGCATACAATCATCAACATTTACATGTAATAAGGTCAAGGTGATCATAATTACACTTTTAGGGAAGGAATTTTCACCCGCTGGAAAACGTGATGTGAATATTGCTCTTGGTGTGTTGCTGAGTGATCAGACTGAACTCGTAAAAGTTCATGAATTATATGAACATCAAAACTTGTTCAAATCTAATATTGCTCTTTCACTTCTTTTCTCAAGGCTTGATTAATACTGGTATTCTCAGGTAATAAAATTATCAATGTAATTATTGGCCTCAAATACCAATAAATAATTTCAATAATTCATTTTAGCTCTGCTGGTCAAAGACCATCTTCGCTAGCCAAGGGTTTCTGATCCGAAATCTAGAGTAGATTTCGGATCGGAAACCCTTGGCTAGCGAAGATGGTCAAAGACTAGTAGAGCTTATGCAATGATATATGTACATTGTCCTTCAGTCTAACTTCTAGTCTCTCCATTTGACTATAAACTATTTTTAAATACTACTCCTACATTTTTGAACTGATTTCAATAAAACTTGGTACACAAGTAGATATAATCTAAGTATCAGTTTCTGATTGCAATTTACGGTATGGACGGTTACTAAAATTACTAAAATTATAGACTTCTGTGAATTGTTTTCAAAATATTCATGAAAAGGTAGCAATTCTTAATTGCAAATCTTGCTTAATTGCTTTCTTATTACAAGGACTTATTTAGTAAAATTATATGGAAAGTATTAGTTTTTATTCCACAACACATTTATCAAATCATTTAACCTTTTTATTTCACATAAAAAATCGGCGTTTATAGCTTTAATACACGTACAGCTTGCTATAAAAAGACTGTACTATAAAACATTGTTTTCATCAGTTGAACTGTGTTGCCATGGTTACTTCTTAAAAAAAGAGGAAGAGGTTGAACAGAAGCATTTGTGGATATTTTCATTAGCTTATTCGAAAATACTTTGCGTTCACTTCAATATACCCACGTGTATGGTTTAATAAAAAATAGAATGACATTTGGGCGAATGATTTTCATTGGTTGAGAAGAAAATTTCATTTAACTAATCTATCTAACTGGTCTTCTTTGTTATTTCATTCAAGAAGTAAAAGTTTGGACACAAATCAACTTTTGTATATAGCCCCAAAACTTCTTCAAGAGCGATTTTTTCATGAATTGATTTCAGATCAAAGTTCAAAGTTTAAAATTATCACTGCATCAAAGTGCCAATTTCTGCACATCCTAAAAAAAAAATGCTAATTTGAGAAATAAGTATGATATATGTCGAGAAATTTGGTACTGTGTTTAAACAGTTGTTAAGAGTTATGAATAAGAGTCACACCCTTTTCAACGGGAGATAATGAAGATAATGAAGAATCAGTGGAAAATTGGATGGGACCATAAAAAAATTTCATCTCTAGAACCACTTGGCCAGAAAACATTATAATGAGACACTGGGGGGTTCACTTGTTTCTTTAGTATACATGGTATATAGTCAGATCTTGATGAGCCCTAAAATTGAAAATATATCATAAACACATGTAAATCTGCAAAGCAAGTAATTTCAAACACAAAAATCATATAACACATGAAATATAATAGCATAACATAATGTTCAACATTATACTTTCCTTCATGATAAATTCATATACAGCGCTGCACTCTGAATAAAGGGCAATAACTCTTAATTTAACTGGATAGATTCATAGGGCTTAATTTACAGATAAAACTCATAAAAATTGAAGTAAAAAATAGATTTTGGCTTTAGCTTGGTAGATCAAAAATATTTGTCAAACATACTTTATAACCAATAGCTCCATTAACCAATTTAAAGTATTAAAAATAATTAGTTTGTGGGAGAATTGATTGATTGTATGTTTAACGTCCCATTCGATAATTTTTCAATCATATAGAGACGTCACCGTATGCCGGTGAAGGACTTCAAAGGGGGAGTTTCGATAAGGCTGTTTTTCGGCCCCTCAAGAAATATAATGAAATTGTGATATGTTGTAGATAAAAGCGTTATCTTCCTTCAAATATGAAAAAAAAATTATACTGCACATTTTCTGGTCACGTGATAATTAAAAATTTAAGTATACCCTCTTCCCTATATTTTTGGAGGGGTGATATTTAAAGTGGGTAATCGAGTTTATTTAACGTCAAAATCATAAATGAAATATTACGAATGTGAATAAAAACATAAAATAACCAATTTCAATATTTGAATTTACAGAAAATTAATGATGTTTATTTTATTTGAATGCGTTTTAAAGTGCAAGATTTTTCTCGTGTTTTAATTGTAACTCTTCTTTAAAGAGGATGAATGTAACATATAAAACGTATATGAATAATACAGACAGGAATTTTCAAAAAATGAATTAATCGACAGTTTATACTTAGACTGAATAATCAAAATTTAACATTTTCCCGTACGCAGAAAAGCAAATGTAAAGATATATAGACAAGAGATAGATAAACTTAAACTGTCATTGACACTGCTTGCAACACATTTTTATCAACTAAAGTTATTGTGCTAAATATAGTATTAATAAAATGTACCGTAATTTCATTAAATTGAATTTTGAAAAAGATCTTGAAATTAACAGATTTCGGAATTCGGTACGATTAAAAAATGCAGCTATTTATATTTTTAAAGTATATTTAAAAGAATCATACTGCAATGTATATTGTATTTAATAATACCAGGCGTATTACTACCAGTCAAAATATTTTTATCAAGATAGTAATTATTAGTCCCATAGCGGTGAAGCCGGAGGGGTCTATAAGTTTCCTCATCGTCTGTCCGCCCGTCTCTCTGTCTATCTGTCAGTCTGTTCCACTTAGTTTTTTTGCACTTTTCTCTAAACGCTTGCAGATATTGAGCTGGTTTTGGTATTTATAGTGTATCCTGATGAGAAACAGAGTTTGAAATTTAAGTTTGAATTTCGTTAAATTCTGCTTCATTGATTTTTGACGGAATATTACAAATTCAAAAAAAAAGGGGGGGGTCGGCGTTTTTTGTTTTGTTTTGTTTTTAATCGCATATATTGAGCTGATTTTTGTTTTGGTATATGTGTTAAACTTCGGTTATAGATCAAGTTTGCATTTTCTTCCGCTTCAATGATTTTTTTAAATAGGGCATTTTCAATTTTTAATGGAAACCAGGTTATACTTGGTGTGCCGATAGTGGACTATTATTGCTAATGCAGTGCTTACAGAATGTATGAATAAATAGCCAAATGATAAAAAAAACTAAAATACATTGAGTGCATGTCTTCTATTCATTCTTAAACTTGAAAGTATTTACGCACATAAAGAGGTGCAATATGTTTTCAGCAAAAATGAGACAATCCAGGCAAGCGAGGACCTACATGTAATTCCTCGCGCTTCCCAACTACCTTTTGATGATTATGTTGTTTCACCAACTCTAGTCACTATTTGATTTTCTAGACCACAGCTGCAATTTGTAAATACCAAATGTATGTGTTAAATCATATCCTGCAGAAACGTACAAATCAACATCAACATCCAGTCTTAAAAGTAATCTACGTTCCCTACATGTAGACCACACGGAAATATATGTGAACCTTCTCTAACAGATTGAAGCGATGAGAGTTTCTATTCAAAGAAATGGCTATAACCATATCCATGATAAAGAACGTTAATGAATGGACTAATTCTTAAACTTCTCTTTCGTTCAGTCAGTCATTCGGAAAATGTAAGATCCGGCATCTGTTACAGTTCTGGTAATGTGTAACCCTAAATGCATCATCGGTGCATATTTCTTCAAGATAGGGATTATAGTTACATGAAAATGAGACATGTTCCAAAATATATACCCTGAGCATTCATCAAGAAAATGTAAGTCAGATCTAGCATCTGAAGCAAGTCTGAAAGTGTGCATCCGAAGATGCATCATGAAGCACGTCTTCTCAACAAGTGCTTATGGCTGCACTGCTCCATAAACATTAATCTGCTTTAAAAACATTAACCTGGACATTCTTTAACTGAAAATGCAGCATCTAAAACCATACAGATGACAAGAAAACACACTAAATCAGGCGACTCTGATGATATGAAAAAAAATATTAAAAACTTTTAATAACCTATACGCCTATAACGATGGTATTACAAAAGCTCCCCCAACTTCGTGTAGGTGAGCTAAATATGTGACGTTAACGTTATACGCGAGCGACGAAATAAGTAGGGAAATAACGATAGGATACGATTATGTTTTCTTACTTAATATTTTCGAGAGTTCTCTTTGGTTTAGAAAAAATATGCTACTTTTGGCTTAGTATTTTAACACGGTGTCAGATCAAGTAACCAGGAGCTTCTAATTATAGATATGCAAATTTTAGACAATTTTCAATTTTGGATATGAAGTGCACACACGACACTCATCATATTTTAAGATATTAGTGTGCAGAGTATATCTAATTTCTGAGCAAAACTAGGTGAGTGTCCCTCATGCACTTCATATTCTAACCATCGATTTATAAATGCCACCCTCTTATATTTTCCCATTAGCCTAATGTTTAAGCATTTGAGGGTACATCTAAGAATGTGCCAGCTACGGCGTGAATTCATCTCATATAAACTCTTGAAATATAAATAACAAAAATTAACATATATTTCTTGAATTCTAAACCAATTTTGAAAAAATAAAACGAAATTTATTTTTATGAAAATAAGTGGGCCGATAAGCGGCCTTATCGAAACTCCCCCTTTTAATCTATACTCGGCACTCAGAGCCATTGAGCAGTGAAGGTTCTTTATCGTGCCGACGCCTACTGTGACCTCGGTTTTATAAGGTCTCATCTGAAAGATCCGTGACTTAATTCCGGACGCTTGGCAAAGGAATAGTCAATACCTATGTTTACGTCTTAGGTTTGACGCGGCGAATGAGAATCAAACACGGGCCTTCAA